TAAAAAAAAAAGAAAAAAAAAAGAAAATCAGTTTTCTCGTTTAATCTTGTAGATCTGTCTGCCCTACAGATCTAATCAGGCACTAAAGTTTCACTGTTCAATTAGGCTCCATGTTAAAGTTTTCTTCATTTAAGAAGCTGCCTTCAAGATGACAGTACCACAATGTACAGAAGCGACAATCATTTGTCCGAGTTAACCAGCTGAATAGAGGATAATAATAAATCAGATATTTGGTAGACTATCACACGTGCAACAAGCTTAAGCATTCCAACTACTCCAAAAATCGTCTGAATCTTAGGAACGCGGATAGAGCTGCATTCTGGGACATTATCTAGAGAACAGACATATGCGTGCAGTAAATCATCTAGCAATTTACCAACCAAAGACCAATATCGAATAAAGAGGAATAGCAAATGAGTAACAAGATAAAGCAACCCACCAATGAGCTTCATTGAAGCATCAACACGACCAATGGACAAAGAGGAAGCAGAAGAGCCGTCGCTGGGCTCGATCACATACTCATCAGGGAATTCCCATAACCGCATTCTTGTATATAGCTTTCGGCATGACTCTGCCCTCTCCATCATTATTGGAATTTTATTTCACTACAAAATCATACCAAAAAAAAAACCAAAAAAAAAAAAAAAAACTCCATAAATCAATCAAGCACACACAAAAAAAGATAAAACCCTTGACTCTATTATGTAATCTATGTATCAGCCAAGGAAAGGAAAGAGGTATGATTGTAGGAAAAAGAAGAGGGTACCTGCTAAAAGATGAATAAAGGCTAAACATTTTACGTCGAGAGTTAGATCTAAGTTTCCCAGGCAAGAAGGTTTGGTGTCCGTTTTGTGTCGAAAGCAGCTAAAAGGAAAGACACCCTTTTTCAAGTGCAGCGTGTCTTGCAAACAGTAAGAAGCGATAATGAGAGGCACGCGAAAGCCTGGGGGATCAACGGTCGATGTTGAATGCAATGTTTTGTTTGTGTCTTTTTGTTCTGCGTAACAGGTTTTGGCTAATAAAAGATAGCCGGACGGACGTCTATGCCCATGTCTCGGGTGGGTTTATTATATCAACGGATGATTTCATTCACTGCCACCAATGACATCATTGACATGGTCAAATGCTTACATTTTCCGGTTCCATCCTCAAATACAAATTTTGGGTTTTCCTCTAAATTAGTAGTAGTAATTCATATGATAATCCAAGTGGTAAATCCTCTAACAATGCTAACTTCTGTTAAATCGGGAGTGTATGCAGATGAAAATTTTCTTTTTCATGTAATTGATTCATAAATGCTACATCTTTTTCCCATTTCCTCTTGGGTTTTTATTCTAAACGAGTGCAAAAATTAACCTTTCTTCAACCAACTTAATTCCATTTCATTTCAAAGTTCGAAAACTGGCAAATTGTGCTAGTATAATATTATATCTTCTTCAAGTTTGGCTTGTCCCGATTGTCTAGAAAAGAAACCTTTGTCAAGAATTAGCAGACTGTTCCATTTTTGAAACTAAAACACTAACAACCCATTTAGAGATTATTAGTAAAATAAACCACATCATTAGCTTTAGCTATAGAGGAAAAAGTATTCTGTACGTAAGCCATGGCACACGAACAGAAAAGCTCCTGTGCAAACACATCATATTTTGAATTCATCAAACTAAGGTATATGGAAGAGAGATTGAAAATTCAAAAGCTTTTAATGCATGTATAAGTATTCTCCTTTAGTAACATAATTCAGGTCTTTAAGTGCACCCATATATATTTATATATAATTGAAGGGGAAATTTGACATAAAGGTTTCGAATCTTTTAGTTAGAGATGACCTTCAACTGGTGCATTAACGGCTGATACCAAGGCCAAGAGGATAATAAATCTTACATTTACAACAAAATAGTAATACATCTTATTGCAGGCGTTTCTAGACATAGAATAATTATTGCTATATTATCTTCTTAGTTATTTCATTGTGAACATAGAGTATTTCAGGAGATATATATATATATATATTTAATTGTGAATGAAATTGCTAGACATTTCTGCTAATATCTTTTGCAGAGCTTTCTGATTTTATCTCTTAGCTGCCTGTGCAAGTATAAAGAAATAGAGCCACAGTACTGTTACGTTGATCCTTTAAAAAGGAAAATGAAGAAATAAACAAAATAAAGAAAACAGAAACAATAAAACGCAGCCACCTGAATGTTAGGAAAATTTAGATATTCAACCAAATCTTGTTATCTCTAGAGTGTAAAATTTCACAGCAAAACCTGGAAGGTCTTACAAAGTTTCAGGAGTAGACAGTGGAAAATCTAACAATGGCAGGGGTCTGGACTCCCAGGGGCCCCAAGGAAATCAACACATTTGAGATTAGCAAGCTTTTCCACCAAATGATGGATAATCTTCAAGAAGAATTGGGTCTGTCAAAAAATTGTTCTATCAACCTCGGATTTTATTTCATGCATCTTTTATTTTGCCCTTTTGCTGGGGGGCTATCCCTTCCCAAATCCTATCAGTTATCAAACCCATTGAAGAGATTGTATGATCAAAGCAATTTTAGATTTGGAATGCACTAAAGTAAAGACTTTTAGAATCAATGAAGAAATAAATTCTTCACTTTCCACGCAGAAGTCTGATGCGTGATGCCTCTTACTGGATTGAAAAACCAAAAAAAAAAAAAAAAAACCTGATCATTGACAATAACATTTGGGACATTTAATATTCAACAAGCATTGATGTCTAATAAGAAACATGGTTCAAATTCATTGACGCTAACAATCAATCTAGGAAGAAAATATTGAGAAATTAAATCAAAACCTTAACAATTTAAAAATAGTATATGGGAAGCGCATCCAAATTGACCCACTTGTCCTTGATGGTTTAGAAACTCCAAAATTTGTGAATAAACATTAAACCATGATATTAGGCACAACAAGAGTTAATTATATAACTTTCCTCTTGCTCCGACAGAGGTAAAGGATATTTCAAGCCACAAATTAAATATGGTTAAATCATGATTATATTTGTAGAGTTCAATGAGAAACCTTTACTCACTAATGACTGAAAATGAGGTGGGATTCCTTGAAAATTACTGCGTTTTGGATTTGGAATATTTCAAGTATTTTGGTGTTTAATGAAAAAGTTCATTCTATTTCTATGATCCAAAATTAAAAAATAAAAAAAGGGGGAAGAAGTTCATCAATTAGTGCATATATAGGCCCAAAGGTTTGGACTTAGTAGGAGAAGCAGAGCAAATAGAGAGAAGATGAATTCGAGTGGTTGGCAAAAACCCCTCATCATCTCTTATTCTCTTTTTGCACATTTGAATTTCTAGCTGACCAAAGGCACTTGCGAAAGGGTGGATGTGCATGGTAGAGCCGCTGGCTTCCTAGTGGCCCATCTGCTTCATTTGATCAAACAAATATGGTTCCTAGTGGCCTGTTGTCACTGCAGCTCTGGTTATGATCATTTGCACCTGCTAAATATTGCATTTGAGATATATACTGTTCTATATATGTATACATAGAATTAATCAAATGAAGATATTCTATTTGAGTGACTCGTAACCAAACTTAACGTTAAATTATTTATAGACTCAGAATAATATTATGTTAATGAGCACGTACGCCATGCATTCTCAAGCTTTCCAACTGAAATCATTTTGTTTGCGCTAGCTCTAAGGCTAGGCTTGTTGGGGTACTTAGAGCAACTTTTAAAAACATCCAAGTTCCTTTCAGCGAAAAAAAAAAGAACGTTGTTCATCTTTATTTGCTATATGTGTTATTAATTGAAATATTAACAACAACAATTCTTCACAAGCGCATTCAGACACTTCATTTGCATGGGCATGGCATGCAAAAAGCAATAACAATGGTGATTCTTTTTGGTTTGACTTCTGGCCATCCTTTGATGAAGCACATTTAACTTGGAAATACACTCCTTTTTTTTTTTTTTTAAATTAATCACTCCTTAAGATTTTGGAATTTTCAATTATCGTTGGTAGATATCCCATGTTTTCAAAAGTCTCCCTTAACTAATTATATTGTATGCTACATGCAAACAAGAAGACCCAAATATTTGGACAAAAGAAATAGTGTAATATACATATATATATATATATATATGTGTGTGTGTATATATATTCAGAGTCGAATTTAGGGGATAGGCATGGGTCATGACATTCGAAAAAAATTTTGATAGCCTTAAAATTACAGTTTTGGCACTGTTATTTTTATTTTTGAACCTCTTCTAATATAATTTATTATTAGCTTTACTTGGCCCCCTAATATCATAATGGTGGCTTCGTTTTCTATATATTGGCTGAGAATTACAAAAAAAAGAAAAAATAATTAAGAAAAAAAGCAGAATAAATGAATCATATCCCACCTTAGTATATGTATATCATGATTTACCAAGAATTAATCAACTTTCATTCAGCTGCAAGCCCTAGTGTGTTTGGGGCCTAATTAAAAAGCAATTTGTAGCTTCCCCAGACAACAAATATCCAAAATGCATTGAGTTCAGAGTTTACATCAAAACTTTAATTTTAATTCCAAAATATATATTGCAAATTCTTTCTTTTCATTTCTTAGTAAATTTACATTAGTTTTCCAGTTTGTTTGTTAGATAATTACTGTAAATGATGTTTGGAGGCTGCGTTAATAATTAATTTGATTGCACATACGTACCAATGGTAATCAACAGTCTTTATATGTAAGTATATATATACAAGAAAGAATTTTATCACAGACACATTAGCATGCAAGGAGAAAAAAAATATTATTGCAGGATATAAAGTATTATTATGTATATATAGATATATATATATATATATATTTATTTATATGATGCGGTAGGAGAAAGTTTGATAGTTTGATAAATTAATTCAACCTCATTACATGAGAACCAAATTTAAAAATAAAATTAAAGAAAATTCCAAACATGTGCAAGAGAATTTTATATATATATAGTTCGTTTTATTTCTAAAGACAACCAATTCACTTTATTCTGCAAAACCCAGAAAAGTCATGTATTAATTTAACTTTTGTCACCATCTTCCTTCTCTGGTGGTGGAGGATAATTTAGATCTAATAGAACATTGGTTCTTGGCTCATTCAGATCAATATCCAAGCCCCTCCTCGGCGAAGAAGCAGCCTCCGCTGCATCAGTTGTATTTGAGTCTTGAATCATCTTTTGTATGGTTTCACGAGCCAAGTTCAACAGCGTGGGAGCCAGTTGCTCCTTGAGGGTTTTGTCACCATTATTCCTTTCTGGAGACCCCTCAGGAGTAAATGTTGGCGGGGGGAACGCCCCGGGGGTCTGCCTTTGATGGGCCCTGAGATGTCCAAACACTGCCTTCCAGGACGCGAAAGTTTTTTTACATACGTAACATGTGGGGGCACAACTGGGAACATCCAGTTTCCCTTTCTTACTTGCTTTCGATCCACTGCTCGACCCAACATCAATAGGATCACGGTCTCTTCCTCTTTTTGTGCCAAGAATTGAACTGGAAGAACCTCCACCGGTTGCACCACTCTCTTCACCCTGATGATCAGTTTGAGTCACGTTTTGTTCATTCTGCCGGCCTTCATTCTCTAGGTCAGCCTGGCCCTTCATATTGTCTGCTCCACTTCCCTCTGTCTCAGCATCACCCTCAGCTTGAGTCACGTTGTTCTTATTTTGCCCTATTTTAGCTTGATCATCACCACCCTGACTCATCTTCATTGTATCTCCATCATCAGTACTTTTCTCAGATTGAGTCACGTTGCTCTCATTCTGCCCGCCATCATTCTCAAGGTCAGCCTGACCCTTCATATTGTCTCCTCCACTTCCTTCTGTCTCAGCATCACCCTCGGCTTGAGTCACGTTGTTCTTATTTTGCCCTATCTTCTCTTGATCATTACCACCATGACTCATCTTCATTTTATCTTCTTCATCGGTACTTTTCTCAGATTGAGCCATGTTGCTCTCATTCTGGCTTGTTCTCTCCTGGGCACCCAGGCTGTTTTGAAGGCTGTTCTTCTCCTGTGGTTGATGCTCTGAGGACGAGGGTTTCCGTTCGGCTGATTCTGTGGGGTTGATCATATTGAAAGGTAGTGAAATGCGTCTCTCTTTAGTTAGGACGAAGCGCAGGGTCAACCCTGGCCCTTGGTTGCATTTATATATTGGTTTTGAATTCGCTGGCGGTTAAATTCCTGTTCACTCGATGATCAGAGGGTGTGACTGTTCATCTTGAACGGCCCTTTTGACGTGTCAAAAGGCTACGTACGTCTCTCCATTGTGGCCCGTACACGTCGATATAGCTTGCCCCAACGTACGGTGAGGATGGCATCAGTTTTCATGGAATTGTCGACGGAAAACTAACGTTAGAACGTCGCGTTTTTATTTAATGGAATGACAAATTCGCCCCGAATATATATATTTAGAAGCCAAGCTCAGTATTGTCTATATATTCAGACGATTGGCTAAGCATTTATGGCAGATTTTCTTTATAAGTAAAACGGTGATGTGGTTTCCATATTTTTCAAGGCTAAGGGGAAGATGAAATTGGAGAGCAAGTGGCATTTGAAAATCCAGCTGCCAGCAGAGATACAAAAATCTTTCTCACCTTTCCTTTTAAATTAATACAGGCAAGTTATTTGTTTTCCACTATTAGTATACACCCATTTGTTTAAGGATGCCCACATGTATATGATTTGGATAAATTAAGAGAAGCTCTCTCTCTCTTTATATACAGCGATGCTATGATTAATTTTACTGGATTTACTTCCTTTCAAGGAAAAATTTTGGAGTGAGCATTAAATAGATTTTACCTAGTGTAGATTACACTTGATCTTATCTTATATTATTAAACCGTTTATTGTTAGATCGTTTATCGATGTACTATTAAATTATTTATTGTTAAATCATTTTTCGGTATATCTATTATAACAAATACTATTAAACTGTTTATTGTTAAATCGTTTGTCGGTATAACCGTTATAGTAAATTTATATATATTAAGTTTTAAAGACTGATTAGTTATGTTTGAATATATGAATTTCATAAAAAAAAAACCTCATAATTAAGTTTCACAACAATAATCAATCTTATTTTATATTATTAAACCGTTTACTATTAAATCATTTATCATATAGCATATTTATATATATTAAATTTCAAAAACTTATGTATGTTTGAATTTATGGATTTCATAAAAATAAATACATTATAATTAAGTTTTACAAAGATAATCGATCTTATTTTATATTATTAAACCGTTTACTGTTAGATCATTTATCGGTATAACCGTTATAGTATATTTATATATATTAAGTTTTAATAACTTAGTTATGTTTGAATATAAATTAAATAAATAAATTATACTCATAATCTTTGATTTTGATTTATTTTAATTTTTAAATTATTTCATTTAAATTCTTAAGTTTTAAAAATGATTTAATTTTGATCATACATTCTTGTTGTAACTTTCATAAATGCTATGTGAACATTCTTGTAACACATAGGTAAGGAAGACATTTTTCCTGATTGTTAATAAAAATATGATAAAAAGATTAAGAAAAAAAATTTAAAAACTAAGAATCAAAATAAAAACAGTTCAAAAGTTAAGAATTGAAACGAAGCCAAATAAAAGATTAAGAAGTATGAATATAATTTACCCTAAATTAGTTTATATACTTTTTCATAACCTACATTAAGTATTTAAATATTTTTTTTTTGCACAGTACACGGATCAAATAATCAAGCGGTCACTTTTTCTGATTTAAGGCTTTGATTTATTTACATGGGTGACTTTTGTGTTAACGAATCAAAATAACAAACGTTATTTTAAAAAAAGACCAAATAAATTAGTTTGTGTAGGCCCAACCCAACCAAAAAACGCAGGGAATACTGACATGGAGAGAAGTTGAATTAGGCTTTTTTATACTAGCTTCCCAGCCCAGTCCAAGGGTCCTCAACCCAACGACCAAACTCAAATCTTATCTATAAAATCAGGAGGCTTTCACAAATTACTGCAACCACCGCAACAAGTTGAGAAACGGGTTTCTTTAAAGAATCTGATATCGGGAAGGAGCGGAGGAGCACAGTAGAGTAGGCACATTAACATAACAAGACTTAACGCCAAGTTTCTGACCTATATCCACGGCGATTTTTATGAGAACCAAAAGTTTCCTCTCGCCTCGTATCAAATCCTTAACTCGCTTTCAGGTCTCTCCATGCGTTTGTTTGAAGCAATTCGTCCAATTTCTTTTCAATAAAGCTGAGTCTTACTTGGTATTTGTTTTTGACTTAGAGATGCAACCACACATTAGGTGAAAGGGGTTTACAAGCTGAATTGCATTCTGAAATGGCTCCACCGCCTAATCCTGTTATTCATCCAAGTCTCACTCTTTATCTAATTTAACTTTCTGTTTAGCCCTTTTTTTTTTTTTTTTTTAAATCATTAACTGAGAATTTTACTCTCGGTTCTTGTTATAATGATGAAGTTGACCCGTCAAAATGGAAGAAGATTCAAGCAAGTAAGGTGGGAATAACTAATTCTATGATCTCATTACCCTCGTGGATTGTATTGAACAATCTTCACAGAGGAGGTAATCATCTTTCACTGCCCATTTGTTTTTGTTTTACTGACATTTTACTTTTTTTTTTTTTTTTCAACTTAGCTTCCTATTTCCAATGCCCTGTTAATGTAGGTTCTTTAAGCTTTAACATGCAAGTGGGTCTTTCAATTATGTTTGTTTTGGTCGTCAAGTCTACTTATTTGATCACATTTAAAAAAAAAAAAAATCAATACTGATTATGCTCAATAAGTTTCTTGTTTTACATATCTCAGGTTTTGAGGCCTACTTAGTTGGCGGCTGTGTTAGAGATTTGCTACTAAACAGAATACCTAAAGATTTTGACGTGATTACAACTGCTACACTTAGACAGGTTTGGTCACAATATTTTTGTTTTTTCTTCTCATTCCCCTTTCTTTACCCGGAATTTTTAGGGGAATGTTGATTGATGTACAATGTTTTCTATTGCCTGATACAGGTCAAGAAGAAATTTTACCGTGCACAGATTGTTGGACGAAGATTTCCAATATGCATTGTGCATATAAAAGGTTCTGTAGTTGAGGTAAATTTCCTGGTTTAGTGCTATCAGAAACTTTCTATGTTATTTCTTCTGGATTGCAACTGCCTCAATAGTGGGAAGTTTCTTAATATGCAATATTGAATTTGTGTGTTCAAATAGGTAACAAGTTTTGAGACAGCTGCAAAACATGATAAAGACAAAGAAAAAGGTTTAATATCTTTAATCCCAAAAGGATGTGATGAAAAAGACCTAATCCGCTGGAGAGATACCAGGAAACGGGACTTTACTATTAACAGGTATTAGTTCTCATATATATATATATATATATACTTTCCATTTTATTCCATGAAAAAAGTTATCACATTCCATTTATGAAGGACCCCACTCCCCCAGCTTTCTCCTTGATAGAGCTTGAGTTTGATGCCATTTAATTCATAAGGATTTTATTTGAATTGTGGATGCAGCTTAATTTTTGACCCTTTTACATGTAATATCTATGATTACAACAATGGAATGTCAGACCTGAAGTCATTAAAGGTGATTCTCCAACTCTGCTAATAACAATTTTATGTGTCTCATAACCTAAACTAATATTTACCCTCTGCATCTTCGTTTCGGTTACATTGGCCCAGCTACGAACATTAATCCCTGCCCATGTGTCATTTCGAGATGACTGTGGTAGGTGATTCTAACTTTCTTGAGTGCAATCTCTTATAAGATTTTTGGATGGAATGACTGCTACATTATTAGACGCTAGTGGAAAATTACAGCTATTTTTCTTGTGCAGCAAGAATTCTCCGGGGCTTAAGAATTGCAGCTCGTCTAGGCTTGTCATTTTCAAAGGATACTGAGAGTGCAATGTACGAACTTTCAGCCTCCATTGAGGGTTTAGATAAGGTAGTTTAGAAATATTAGTTGAGAGTATCTTGCTTTCCACATAATGTCTCTTCTCTCTCTCTCTCCATTTTTTTTCCTTTGTGAGTCTTTTTTGGCCCCCTTTCTTGCACCATTCACTTTTGCTTTTGCTACACCAAAACTAGGTGCAAAGAACCAAACTGACTGTGGCTAATTTACAACCCTTTGCCTTTGGATCCTTTTATTTTTGGTGTAAAATTAAATTGCTGCTATCAGTATTTTACATGATACTTATCATCATAATATTGTTCATTTATCTAGTCCAGATTAATGTTGGAACTGAACTACATGCTGTCTTTTGGAGCTGCTGAGTTGTCCATTTGCTTGCTTCAGAGATTTAACCTGCTGCATATTTTACTTCCGTTTCAGGTTTATGCATTTTTAGCTTCTGGTTTTATGTAATTTAATTTCTTGAATTTAGTTATTAGAGAGGTTATATGAGACTTGTTTGCTACACAGGCAGCGTACATTAATCAGCAGAGATCCGCCAAGAATTCCCCGATGCTGATGGTGAGCTTGGATTCATAGAAAGAACATGTTGTTTTCTGTATTTCTAACTTTGTTGATGAAGGAACTCCGTATTTGTAGAGTCGAGGGATTTATGAGAGTTTTGGTAGCTATGCAATTCAAGTTGACTTTATCAAGCCTGTTTACCTACTTTTGGGACAATATAAATACTCAATCTTCAAAAGTATTTGAAATTCAAAGTAATTTAGAGATATTGGTGCACTGTCTTGAGATTCTGACTAAGTTTTTACTGATAGTTGTCTAGAAAGATAAGGTTTATGTTATAGAAAGATAAATCTGAATGTTTTTTGAGTTCTGCTAACAATTTGATAATTATTTGTTTTCTTCAAAATAAGATAATAATTATGCTTAGCTGGTTTGGTATGCTTAACATGAACATTTGATGCAGTTTTGACATTATTTTGGGAAATTTCTCAAAAAATTATTCCTGTGAATATGGCACTTTTCAAAGAAGTGAGATTCTTTCCACTGGCTTGCATGCCTATGAACTATCATAAGGTCTCTCAAACACATGAATTTTGGCTTGATGGTTTTACTTCCTGAATCTCTGTCTTGTCTTTTTGGCAGAAATTATTTTTCAATTTGGATAAGTTGGTTTCTTCTGATCATCCTGCTGATAGCTGTCTATGGTGAGTTACCTGTCTTTTTTGTGTCTTCTCAAGCATAGAATAATATCATAAGACTTCATCTTTGTTATTATCATTATCAACAAAAACTTGGCCATTGAAAAGAGCAGTTCGACTTTCATAGCAAGTTTGGCAATTCTCTGTTTAAACCTGTATGCAGATTAGGTTGAAAATATTATTTTTGAAGAAGAATGCGCATAAATGTCTGTGGGAATATTTTTGTACTGCAGATGATGGTGTTCACATTAAGAAATAAACAGGATGGAAGCTATCATAATATGTAAATCCAAGGACTTGGTGGATGGTTATCAACTGCATTTACATGTTATTATGTTTTTTAGTATTCGTGATCTGCTCTACCGATCATTTTTTCTACATAGAACAGGGTTGGATTGTTGATGTTTCACCTGGCATTGGTAAACAACCCTCAAGATGGTCTTGTTGTCTGGACGTTTGCTTCTGTTCTGTATCATGGAAAGTGGAAGGTAGGTGTTGAATTTGCAAGAGAACAAACAAAAGTGGAAGTAAAATTTGTACCTGAAATCTCAGGTTTCTCTGAAACTAAATCAGATGAAGACCTGGCCAAAGAAGTTTCTCAGTTTGCAACTCTGGTGCAAGATTCTGTATGGGCCTTAACGGAGACAAGCAGTTTATTTCAATCAATGTCCAGATATCCATCTTCTCCATGCCCTGGTTTGGTAAGTGCCATTAATATGACATCTCCTTCATCGAATTTTTTAGCATTTCTGATCAGAGATGTTCATGTTTTCCCTTGCCTGAGGTAAATTAGCCTGCCATTAGAAATGGACCTAGATCATGCCTTGATTTGCTTGTGAATGGACTTTTTTCGTTTGTTACCAAAAAATTGGTGTTGTTCTGTTATTTATATGTATTTGTATATGTATCTTTTTTAGTAAATTAGGTTTTTTTTTCAGGTCTTTGTACCAAAGAAAACTGCAAAAGCTACTGCTAAAATTTTTGATCTGATGGTAGAAGATATTAAATCTTTCATAAATGACAGACGTGGGGAGAGTCCCGAGATTAACTACCACTTGCTTGGAAAGGGTGATCCATGTGAGACTAGATATGTGCTTGGCAAAATTATTTTAGAATCAATGAAGGCTTGTCCCCTTGGAGATGCAACAGAGATAGCCAATGGTGAGAAGGGCTTCCTGCAACCAAAGGGAATTGAGGAAATTCTGGCAAATAATCAACTTCCTCTGAAGAAGGATAAAAAACGTACCCCATCATTATTGAATCTTGAGGCCAAACAAGGGATGCCAAAGAAGCAAAAATTGGTTGATTGGAACCGGAATCCTTCTGAGCTATATACTGCTACAAAGAAGCAGAAAATGGTTGCTAAAGAGGAGTTCCAAGAGTTGTCTAAGAAGCACCAGAGGGTGGTCAAGGCATGCAAGTTATCTGAAAGTGAGATAAGCTCGATGCAAGGGAACATATCAAAGAAGGAAAAAGGTCATTTAGTGAATCGGGAAAGGGCGGTGGTAAAGGAAGAGATGCGCAAGAATGATAAGAAAAAGAAAGCCTAGAAGCATATGAAGGTAGTAGAGAAGTTGAAACACCAAATTTCACCACATGCAGTCATTAAGAAGAAACAAAGGGTAGTTAGCAAGTTTAATTTGAGACGGATGAGATGGTTACAGTGGGAAAAGCAGTTAGGAAAGGAAGAGGTGAAGGAAAACCCTGAGAAACATAAAGCTATAGCAGTAAAGAACAGAAGCGGTCCAACGTTACTTTCTGGTCTTTTCAAGTGATTGGCTTCATTCTTCGCATGCTACACTTTTTACTTTTTGTAACAGCAACAACAACTGAGCAGTAAATTTATCTTTCCCCTAGGGGCTTTGGGTGTGCTTTTTTGTTACCGTACTGAAACTTTCATGTGTACCAAAGATGCGTGATAAAATAATAAGACGTAATTAATGTAGGCTATTGTGATTTGTTAACAAAATTTCTGACGTTAGATATGGTTGCAAGCATTATTAACATATTAGTATTACATTTTGTTGCGGAAATAAAGAATTCAAATGCAGTGCAGTGCAGTGCAGTGAAGAGTAAATTTTGAAAGTGCTCAGCTCAATCCTTCTTATTCTTACTGGTATTATTTTCGTTTCAGAAGAAATGCTTCGTTTGTTTTTGTTTTTCTCTTGGGAGTGCAAAAGAAATTAAATTTTGAATATTTAAAATGAAAAATACTCGTTCAATATTTTAACATTTCTTTTATGGAGAGTATGAATGAATGGAACAAAATTGAAAGAAATAAATGATTGATGAATGATGTCCCCGAAGTGGGGCAGAAGAGAAGAGAGTAGAGAGCGCGTTTACGATCTAATCTCTCCCACCCATCTTTTTGTTGACAACCAAAAGCAATCAAATCAATGTTCATGACATCAATGAGTGTAGTAATAATAATTTTAAAACCTAGCTAGGTGACCGTTGCTAGGACACACTCATACCCCTCTCCTAATCATCTAACGGTCACTTTCCACTAGAAGCTAGCCGTTGCTTTTGAAAATACCACACCTTCCCCCTTTTTCTCTCTCTCATTCCCCCTCCCCTCTTTACCTATCATTCCTCCTGTACTTGTAGTTTTACGCTTCCGGGGGCCTTGAGTTCTTTAAATGCTCTTTCTTTTACTAATTCAAAGGCTTTACCCTTGGTCTCCTTCTTCTTCTTCTTCTTCTTCTTCTTCTTTTGGGGCGGTTGGTGGTTGTTTTTGTTCTTTTAGATAATCAACCAAAATGGATCATATATCTGATGACAACAACCCTAATCTTATCAAGCCCACAAATTTTCAAGGTATATTTGGCTTGACTTCTTCTCAGTTCAAGATTGAAACTTGGGTGTCAAGCCCAATAATCTAACATGGCTTTTCATTTCATTTCATTTCATTTTTCTTTCGTATAAAGCAGGAGTAGTACTTATGGGTTGCAGAAAGTTTGGACAGGAGATTAGGGCACACAACAGAAGAGCTTTAAGTGTCGTTAATCAGAATTTACTAGGAGCTAAAGCATACCCTTGTGTTGTTAATAAGAGAGGCCTGTCTAAGTATATATCTCTCAATTGCTATATACAAGTTCTAAATCTTTTGCTTCCTTGTTTTCCCTTGAATATGAGTTTTAAGAATGCTTTCTTGCACACAGAAGAAATGAAAATTTTGAAAACAGCCATCTTGATCCAGTGCACAGACCTATTACCAGGTTAGTTTTTGAACCTTTTCACTTTTTCCTCTTACTTGCTTGGCTAATGAGTAAAAGTACAAAAAGAAAAGAAAGTTCAAATTTTGGATCTTAATTAGATCTCAGACAAATGTCCAAGACAGAAAAAACTTTCGTGATTTTTTTTTCATTATTTACAAATCAAAAAGACCATTATAGATTGAAGACATATTTATCTAATCTTGTATGTTTTGAGGGTAAACAAATGAGCTTGCTTCTGTATGCATCTGGGACTAATCTTCAAATTTTAATTTCTTCATTTTGAATTATATATGCTGAACTTCAGGAAGTGTGCTGCTCAAATTTCGAGTAGTCAACGGCATTGCCCCGAGGTACCACACACAACTCCATCTCTCTTTAGGGATCATAAAATATTCTAAACTTACTAATCCATGATAGGAACATTATTTCTGATGGATGTCTTATCCCCTCAACAGGAAACTAAGAAGCTGAAACCATCCAATATTCCAAGCTCAAATGAGTTCGGAGACTGTATATTTATAGATGTGGAGGAAAACAAGGCATCATCCGTAGACAAGCCGGTACCCATGTTCTTAGAAGAAACAGCAACTAGGCTCTATGAAGCTGATGATATGGTATCTACTTCATGTTCTTATCTCCCTCTTGGAATGTATTATTTGTCTACAATTCCATTAAACTGGGTTTATTGAAATTGCATAGGAGGAAGTCGAAATGGAGGATATATTAGTTGAGGAGCCAAGTGTTGATATTGATGGCTGTGATGCTAAGAACCCACTGGCAGTCGTCGACTACGTTGAAGATTTGTATGCTTTCTATAGAAAGATGGAGGTACATATAAAGCACTTTTCATTGAAATCTTAGATCCTTTTCATATAGAAAAATTTCCTCTTTAGATAGTCTGGTGTTCACGTAACTTTCTCGGTGTATGATAGTTAAAAGTTCAAGTGATGATAAAACCATAAGCTCATTTTGAATTCTTTGGTCTAGTCTCCTCTGATAGGTCATAATAATAGGATGTCAACTTCCAGTATAAGTATAATAAAAATAAGGACGTAGGAGTAATAATTTGGTTAGATAAACACTAGTACTGTCAAATACTTCATCATTCATTTATCTAGTTATCCTGCAAATTTATTCTGCTTCCTAGTTAAGCTAAAATTTAAATCTGCCTGAGATTTAGTTACGGTATATTAATTTAATCACCTGAAACTTGACTGAAACCAACTCACTCTATGCAGAATTTTAGCTGGATTTCACCAAACTACATGGCGCAGCAGTCTGACATTAATGAGAAAATGAGGGCTATACTGATTGACTGGCTTATTGAGGTATATACCCTAGCTACTGAACCAATGCCTTAAAATGGTAAATAATTAGCTTCTGCAGGTTCAAACTTTAATGATATAATGAATGCCGTTCGAATCATCAACTCTAAGGATCATATTGGCTTGCGCAAATCAACAGGTGCACGACAAATTTGACCTCATGGGCGAGACATTATTTCTTACTGTTAATCTCATAGACAGATTTTTGTCCCAGCAAACAGTGTTAAGGAAAAAGCTTCAGTTGGTTGGATTGGTTGCTATGCTCTTAGCATGCAAGTACGAGGAGGTCTCTGTTCCTGTTGTGGGAGATCTAATCCTTATATCAGATAAAGCTTACTCTAAGAAAGAAGTTCTCGAAATGGTAGTTAATGATACCATTCTGCCATTATGTTAAGCTGCCAAGCGAAAGAGCTAGAGCACTAACGGGTTCCCCTTTCACATGCTGCAGGAGAGATTGATGCTTAATACATTGCAGTTTAACATGTCATTTCCAACACCGTATGTTTTCATGCGGAGGTTCCTGAAAGCCGCTGAGTCCGACAAGAAGGTCAGTTAGAACTTACCGCTCAGCGACTCTTGAGTTTTGATATTATTGCAAAATTACTAAAATTTGTAATGGATTTTTATCAAAGCAGCTTGAGCTTCTATCATTCTTCTTGATTGAGCTTGCCCTAGTGGAATATGAGATGCTTAAGTTCCAACCGTCACTATTAGCAGCTGCTGCAATCTATACTGCTCAATGCGGTCTGTATGGATTCAAGCAGTGGAGTAGGACAAGCGAGTGGCATAGCAACTGCTCGGAAGATCAGCTATTGTGAGTCCTTTTATTCCTTCAAAATTTCTTATCAACAAATGTAAAATCTATAGGAAAAGTTACTAAGGATTTTGGTTTGTTCTTTCTTGCAGAGAATGTTCTAGACTGATGGTTGGTCTCCATCAGAGGGCAGCAACAGGAAAACTAACAGGGGTACATAGAAAGTACTGCACATCCAAGTTTGGGTACACAGCAAAATGTGAACCAGCAAAATTTCTATTAGAAGATACTCTCACCCAACCATAGGGAAGGAATGTGTATAGCAACTACTGACTATACCTGATTTGATGAAGAGAGGACAGATAGATAATAAAGGAGCAACTTTGTGTTGCAATTAGGAAATAAAAATTTTGAAAATTTTTTAAGCCTGCAACAGCCATGGTTGATTTCTGTGTATGTTTCAAATTGAACATAATTTCCTTGTGACTTCTTTTGATGGTACCTTTGTGGAAATATGTTTGAAAAAAAAGGCTAGGAAAAAGTGCTTTGAATATGACATTATACTTGACGGTTTAAATTTTGATGATGTGAATTTGAAATATTCTTAATAAAGATCAATGTTGACCTTCGTTTTTTCTCGTTTTAATAAAGCCAAATATTTAAATTTGGTTCACCTCTTTCCAAGTCTAAAACAAAAATATTATGGCATCCAAATGAGTTGTTTTATTTTATTTATTGCAAGTACTGGTAGAATTGCTATTGGATTCGAGTCTTACCAAACAAAAACAATTAATCTGACGGATCCCCTACTTTTTCATTCCTCAAGGAAGTACATTTAAAATTGAATTGCAGAAACATCACCAACTCATTTCTTTTACTTTTTATTTTTTTTATTTATGACAACCTCGTTCTCACGATAAAAGAATGTAAAAATATAATATATATATATATATTAATATTTAAATTTAATATTATAAAATATTTTTTATAAAATAAAATAATTTTTGAATCAGAATAAAATAATATTTTACAAATTAAATATAAATTTTTATAAATAATATTAAAATGATCACTAATCAAATATATAATCATAATTATATATAAAAATTAAAATAAATAATATTTATAAATCGAATACATATTTCTACAATATGTATTATATCACACTAAATCCATCCAGATTACACATTAGTCAATTTTCCAATCGTACTTGTAATATGACTTACGATTCACTGAGAACCACAGACACAACACAAGTGACCAAGAGATGGTGTGATTTAAGTAACTCCAAAAACGACACCGCTGCATTTGTCCACTTCTCACCAACCCAAAAGAAAAAAAAAAACCCATTATTTTTTATTAAATAAAACACTCCCACTTACTTTCGGATCTTTCCATCAAACACCCCCTCGAACATTAAAAAAAAAAAAAAAAAAATTGCTTTCCCTCTCCCTCTCCGAAATCTATAGCCATGGCGGCAACAGCCTCAACCACCCCTCATTCTATTCTCCTCCAAAAGATCCCTCAAAATCATGCCTTTCTCCAACCCAACTCCATCACCTTCACTCTCACCAATCAAAGGTGTGCCAAACCCTTCTCGATCTCATGTTCAGCAACTACCCCAATCCAAGATCGACCCTCCCTCCAATCCCACCCTCAAGATCGAGTCTTTAACTTCGCCGCTGGACCCGCCACGTTACCCGAGAACGTCCTCCTCAAGGCCCAATCCGATCTTTACAACTGGCACGGATCGGGCATGAGCGTTATGGAAATGAGCCACCGTGGCAGAGATTTCCGTTCTATTATCGAAAAAGCAGAGGTCGATCTCCGTACCCTTCTCAACATCCCTGAAAACTACGCTGTTTTGTTCCTTCAAGGTGGGGCCACCACGCAGTTCGCTGCCATCCCTTTGAATCTCTGTCGGCCCGATGACACCGTTGATTATCTGGTTACTGGTTCATGGGGAGATAAGGCTTTCAAGGAAGCCCAGAAATATTGCAAGCCAAAAGTCATTTGGTCTGGGAAATCGGAGAAATACGTGAGCGTCCCCTTATGTGATGGTTTAGAGCAAAGCGCAAATGCCAAGTATTTGCATCTATGCGCTAATGAGACTATTTATGGGGTTGAGTTCAAGGACTATCCTGTTCCTAGCAATCCAAGTGGGGTTCTTGTAGCTGATATGTCTTCCAATTTTTGTTCCAAGCCTGTTGATGTAACCGAGTTTGGGTTGATTTATGCTGGTGCGCAGAAGAATGTGGGGCCAGCAGGGGTTTGCATCGTCATCGTCAGGAAGGATCTTCTAGGAAATGCACAAGAGCTTACACCTGTGATGCTTGATTACAAGATCCACGCTGAGAACAACTCTTTGTACAATACACCTCCGTGTTTTGGAATTTACATGTGTGGTTTGGTGTTTGAAGATCTTTTGAAGCAGGGAGGATTAGAGGAGGTTGAGAAGAAGAACAAAAAGAAAGCGGGTATATTGTACAATGCCATTGATGAAAGTACGGGATTCTACAAGTGCCCGGTTGAGAAATCAGTGAGGTCGCTGATGAATGTGCCATTTACATTGGAGAAGTCAGAATTGGAAGCTGAGTTTTTGAGGGAAGCTGCTAAGGAGAAGATGGTGGAGCTCAAGGGACATAGGTCGGTGGGAGGCATACGAGCTTCTATTTATAATGCTATGCCTTTGGATGGAGTTGACAAGTTAGTTGCTTTCATGAAGGATTTCCAGTCAAGGCATGCTTGATTCATGCCTCTTCCAACAAGGTTGGTTTTTTTTTGGTCTCATGTTTGTTCTCATTTATGTTTGCTCTGGTTTTATGTTGGGTAGTTTTAAGTAGTACTATGATAAATTCAAGCTATTCTTCGGGAAATGCTGAAAGTTCCAAGCAGGGGGAGTTTAGCAAGATTTTGGTAATAGATTTACATGATTGCTAGTTTCATTTCCCATTTAGATTCCTAGTCGCACAATGTTAAATGATCTAATAAAGGTTGCTGGAATTTTGATGTCAACCTTTTTCCATTATAAATTGCACTGCACCTTAACATTGTGCACTTAATCTTACAGCACTCCAAACCTATTTTAGCTCTTGCGTGCCAAAGCCCGAAGCCACTGACATGTATTTATTCGTTAATTTCATTGAATTCTTCCTGTCTGGGACATGAACAATTTGGGCATGATTTGAGGGATCAAATGACTCATGGCTATTACATTAAAAAAATTCTATTCTTATTGTCTTAAATATAAACGGTTTTTACTCAGTACAAAGTACAACCATTCTCCCTTAACGAAACAATTTCATTGGCATTGGCAGAGGACATCAATGCCCATGGACGCCCTCAGGTACAGCATCCTTGTTTTCCAGATACAATGGCTTTGAAAAATAAGGTAAATTGGTTAGAATTTAGGAAAGCAAATATCACTATCAATAACAAAGACAAAGTCAAAGTGATAGTTCCACCGATCAAAGATGTTGGCGTACCAACGGCATTGAAATCATAATCGCTGAAACACCCTGTTAGTATTTTCTCAAAAAGATGGAGACAGGGAAGTAAAGAATACTTACTTTAGGATCTTCCCTCTCTATAACTAGCGGCTACATTTTTGAAAAATTCTGTGGTAGCACCTGCATGTTCATCATAACATGCACTACTATCAGGGCAGAGATATAACCACTAATGAAACTAAAGCAACGGAGGATGGCGTTTTGGTTTGAAATGCAAAGTTTGAACCATATTGTGCTCCTCTTGAATCAAAATAATTAAAACATAACAAAATAATTAAAACATGAGAGCATTTTGTGGTCTACTTGCATCTTATTAATTCATTCATGACTTTCTTGCAACTTATTCACTTATAAAAAAGTATACATCACGAAAAAGGACATTGTGCTGAAACTCCTTTTTCAACAATAATAATACTCCTTTTTGAAGAAATCCTTTTTTCCTATATATAATATGAAGAATAATAATATGAGTAGCTACTTGATCTTTGCACATCTGTCTATATATCATTTCATTGAGGTTCAACTACTAATCATTAATTAATAATTAATTAATGGGTTATAAATTATTATTAAGAGAAGTAGTAGGACGTAAAAACCAAGAGAGAAAAATACGAGACAAAACAAAATAGTTTTTTCCTCCTGCCGCTGCTGCAAAGAAGTTCAAACTCTTTATAAAGGGAAGTGTCAAACCCGATGCCCCCAACATTCATTCCGATCTTCAAACAATTCTTCACCTCACCTTGTTCTAACTTCACACCCACCCCATCCATCACCTACATGCTACACCCGGGCGACGTTGCATGGGCCGAGACCCGTTAGCTTGATGTCATCCTCTGCTTGTTGGTCTGGATGGACCTTTCTTCGACGCTCATTATGACCAGCCAAACGATCCCGACAGCTTCTTTTGGCGCCATCAAACTCTGAAATTTCATGAAACCTGCGTTTTACAGTCCAAAAATCACCGGATGTACAGAAAACCATAACAAAGATCTATGCTTGTCATACTACAAGCTACTATTCCTTTCATTTGGATATTCCCATGGATATGCACAACCAGGCTGTAGTACAAAATTCAGTAGAAACTCAAAAAATGTACAAATAGGCGACTAACATTTGTCTCCACGATGGTCTTATCATGGATATTTAGACTTAAGTTGATCATGATAATATTTGTTCACATTATAGACGTCACCTCATTCAAATATTCAAGGAATTTGCATGAACACTCCTATAAAATTCTCAGTTTCAATGCTAGACAACAGAGTCTAAGGCAGTCCAATTATTTGATATACTAGCAAAGTAATCACCTCAGAAAAAAAGACGTACACCATTTTTTTCATCCTCCTCATCAATAGCAAAACTAGACCAGCAAATTCCTGCCTCTGTATCTAACCAACTTAGCAGAGTTATTTAAAAAACATAGAGATGAATGAGACCTTAAAGCCTAAAACAAAGTATGACGAGAAGAAACAGATAAAACACTTAATTCGGACATTAATGTCTGGTAAAACTCCAAATGACAAAGAGATATCGATAATTAAGTAGCAAAATAAGCAAAGAGTAACCTGCTACACTGCTGGCAGAACCTCTGGCGAATGCCTTTAACCAAAACAAAGGCAGCCTTTGCGTGTCGCTCGCAGACTTTGTGGCGCCGATGATATTGCTTTGCATCTTTCAAATCCGCACCACATTCATCAACTTGACAACAAAAAAGATTACCACCGCCACCGCAGCTTGCACTGTGTGAGTGCTCTATCAAATTCCTTCTCTCAAATCTCTCCCTGGGAACCACCCTTATCATGACTTTTCTCTCCTCTCTTTGTTGTTCCTCATGCTCACTCTCTGTTTCTTCTTCCTCTAACTCTGATTCTTTCTCTGTTTCCGAGTCATCTTCTATCCCTTCTAGTGTTTTAAACGACCTTTTTGACATTAAAAAAAAAAAAAAACTCAAAGTAAAAAGCGCTTTTCTTTATGTTTGGGCTCTTTGGGGGTTTTAAGGAAGGACTAGATTAACATTAGATTTGCTGAGCCTGAGACAGTAAGGAATTTTTAGGGTTCGTAAATGTGAGTGAGTGTGAAAGAATGAATCTAACAAAAGCCCCAAAGTATGGTAATAAAAAAGAGAAAAAAAAAAGGACAATGGGATAATAATATCTGTGGGGGAGAGAGAGAGTCCCACCATAAGACGCAAAGTGTCATAGTCACCCAACATAAAAACCTTCGCTTTCCAGGAGTCATTACTTGAATCAATCAATTACTTCTTCGTCTTTGCCCACTCTAACATTTTCGCTTTTCTTTGTCTTCTAGCTTTTTCTCCCTTGCCGACGGCCATCAGATTTTGAGGAAAAGAAAAAAAAAAAAAACTTTTCATTCATAGAGGGAAAATAATATTGTGATTGATTAGTAGGAGGAGGAGATGGTGTGGGGAAGGAGCATGTCAACAGAACAGGGCATTACCGTGGCTGGCTAATGAAGCGTTTAAACAGTTGAGATTCCAGACACGGAGCATATTCACGCTTGTTCTATAAATGACAATATAAAACTTTGCTGGACAATTCTCTGCTGTTTCTGGGATTTTGTCCCGTAGATGGGGGAATCATATGCAAGACATCCACGTATTTGGATTCCCAATATCAACTCAATATTAAATTAATGCGTTTCTGATGGGTTGGCGGGACTTTGTTTTCGAGCGTTATACTTTTACCTGCTTCTGGTCGTTTGACTTGTCCGTTAATTATTATTATTTTATATATTTTCGTTCATATATGTAGTACATTTCATACAGTCGAAGAGCAGGGGCTTCCAGTGGGCCAAGGACACAGTTATGTTAAGCCGCAAGCAAGGTGAATCAACAGACTGCAGATGCCACTGGCTATTAGCTAACTGCTAAGCCAATTGAAGTCAAACATGCTCAACTTCAACTGCAAATTCCAAAAAGTTTCTTAGCTCTTTCACATTTTTTTCTTATTAGCTCTCTGTTTGAACATCTTGGATCATCTCTCTCTCTCTCTCTCTCTCTCTCTTTATTTAACTATACATCCGCGAGCCCAACTGAATCCAAACTCCAAAACTTGAGGGTAGTCGTAAGTCCAACAATTTTGCCATTTTAACCAAGCAGGAGCCAGTGGAGGTGGGTTAAGTTAATTGCTTCTGCAGCATATACAATTTCAGCAGGTTGATTGATCCTAATCAGTTTTTTATCATTATACTACATAATGTTCCGAATCTATTGTTCAATATCTCCCTATATCATTGTCTATAAACTTAAGCATACCTTGTAACCTACGCACCATACCAGATTCATCAAACTGGAAAGAAGTATAGGCTGTTAGCACAGTACATAGCATTGTACACGAAATAGAACTGATGGATGCCTGGATTTTGTCCCCTTATAATCCCAGCCACTATTTTATCCACATTTCCTCGTGTTTATAGCCCAGTAATTTGATTCCTAAAACAAGTTTCTTTATCTAATAATTGTTCTAGTATCAGAATTAGGTAGACGCCATTGCTAAATGGGATAAAGGCCAATTTTCAGGGTGAATCTTATAAGAATGGACAACAGATACATTGACTTGTCTCGTCCATGGTCTCAGTCCTCTGGCATATTTAGAAGCTAAGACTGTATTTGTAGACAACAAAGTATTTGTTTTAGGCTAAAAAATTTCAATCTAATCGTATCAACAAAAGTGAAATCCAATAATTAATTAATTATACAATAGATAATAATTTAATATAATTTAATTCAATCGACCTACATCTAAAGATGAAAAACAAGATCTACTAATGAAAAACAAGATTCACTAATTATAAAAAATTATAAATATACATCAAATAAATCTCACTCAATAATTAATATTCATAAGCTCTTTCAATTTTTTCTAGTTTTACGGAATATTTTTAACCTAAACAAACACAAATCCATGTGTATATTTTTAACACGAATAAACACATACTCATATGTACATATTTATGATACCTATGTGAACCTATCAGTTTTTTTTAGTCCACTCTTAAACATTCAAACATACACACTCATAAGACGTAAATCTCCAGTACTCCTATGGGTTGTTTATTTCACAAAATCTTACAACTCTTTTACATTTTTTTTTATATCTAATCCTATAAAAACTTCACTTATTTATAATCATATAAACTTGTCTATTAAAAATATCTTTCTTTTTAAAATTCATTTTCTGTAAGTCAAACTTACTTATTAAGAATCTATTTTTTTTAGAATTCTTTTTCTACAAGTCTTTTTGTTATCTAACCAATTCCAAACAAATATTATATGTGAATCATCTGGTTATATAAATATAAAGGATTGGCTCAATGATATAATAATTTCAGGTGGAGATAATATGAGCACGGTTGAGGTTGAAACAATTTTGTATAGACATCCAACAGTTCTTGAGGCTGCAGTTGCTGCATGGCCAGATAATCATTGAGGACAGATCCCTCGAGCATTTATGAAGTTAAAAGAGGGATTTGATGTCAATGCTGAAGAACTAATCAGGTTTTTCCGACACCACTCCCAACATTATATGGCTATCAAAACAGTGATATTTGAGTAAATTGCCAAGAACTTCAACCGGAAAGATACAGAAGTTTATATTGAGAGAAAAAGCAAAGGTCCTTGGCAGCCTCTTTTGAGCAAAATGATAATGTGCTAACCCAAGTTTCCTCCAAAACTGGAAGATAAAATTTCTCAAAGTTGCTCATTATTTTTCTATGGTTCATTAAATTGTGATGTTTTTAGGATCCACAGATACTTAAACAAAGCCATATTGACAGCATAAGCCTCAATTTCTCTCTGCCCTTTGCATTCTGCAGCTACAGGGAATACTACTTTGAAAAGTTTGCAGCTTACGCAGCGGCTTTTGCAGGATGTTTATCCAGATTGAGGCTTATAATGTGGGGAGAGGTGAGAGAGCCACAGTATAGAAGATTTCCGATCTTCATTCCGCCTGTAACCGCAGATAATTCTCGATCATGGTAGTGGGCAACTGGTTTTCCTTCCAAATCAACTGCCAATATACCTGCATTTTTCCCGTTAGGTAGTCGTGCAATGTACTTCGCCATGATTGCCATAGCCTTTCGGATGAAAGGATACCTGAATGCTAATTCAAAAGTGACCGAAGTTTCCTGCCCAATATATACAACAATGCTTGAATTATCAGAAATTGTTAAGAGAAAAGTAGTAGATTATATGCGATACAATACACATGGTTCAACCAATTATATCGAGGCTCAAACTGCCACTAATTATCTTTCTTTGTTGTTTTTATCCAAGAAAATATAGCACCACCCAAATCTCACAATTTCATCCAAATTGGAAATTAGAAGGTATGCTTATGGATATAATAAATAAGAAATTAGTATTACCGCGGCTAATCCAATCCAGTAGTGACCGTCTCCATCATATCTAATATTATCAGGGTAGCCTGGTAAATTATCAAGAAATTTCTCCAGGCGTCCTTGTTTGTTGGCCTGTATGTGATAATTTCTACACCTCCTCCTGCAATTAAATTTGCTATCACCCCATGTCAAACAAGTAACAATTAAAGTTAAACTCTCTGTAATCATCAGAATGGCAGCAGAAGCCATTGGTAATAAAGCTTACGAGATTATCACCAAGGCAACATACATTATGGTTTCACAGAAGATTGCTGAGTCTTGACGAGGTGAGACTGCAACTCCATTAGCAAAGTAAAGATCACCGACTAACACTCTGGTTTTTCTGGTAACTGGATCGAAGCTCATAAATCGACCATGAGGCTTACCGTCCAGGATTTCCCATAAGTGATCATGCAAGTCATATTTGTATGAAGCGTCTGTAAAATATATCATACCATTGTCTGCTATATCTACACCATCTGTAATTTTGAATTTCAGGCCATCAGCCTCATCTGTTAGCAGCTCCACCTCACCATCTCTGCTTATATTCAGCAGTCCCTGTTATCAAGGAGAATCAATTAACTGATCCGGTCAACTCATCGAGGAGCAAAGTCTGCTCTAAATATTAAGGTATGTAATCTCTCATCAGAGAACAGATCAAGGACAGAGATCATGGAGAAGTTCAGCTAACCTTGTGGAAGACTGCACTTAATTCAGAAATCAACATTCATTGCGTGTGTGTGTTACAATAATTATAAAACAAAGTTTGATTTTGATTGCTTCCAGGCCAAGTACTGTGTTAGAAAGTTAACTAACCTTATAAGCATCAGCTACGATAACTTCATCATTGTGTCCAAGAGCGAGTCCTAGTGGTCTACCATGTGTGTTAACCAAGTTTTCCACGGCTGAATCGTTCAACCTGACTCGCTTGATCCACCCATCTTGACAACCCGTGTAGATGAGTTGTGACTTGGGATCATATGCGATATCTTCTGGTCCTTGCAACTTCCCTGCACCCACGAACTCAGCTCCTTGTAGCATGCGATCGTTGCGCAACGACACAGTCATGGGTGTCTGACCCAACTCGTGGATGGGCATAGGAGCTGGCTCGAATGAGTCAAGCTGGTAGACAAGCACAGCTGCCAGTACAGGAACCATTGTAGATAAAACAAGAGTGAAGGGCCATAACCTCTTTCTTGGTTGATTAGCAGAGTTAGAAGCCTGATATTGCATAACCGTTTCAGAACTTGAGTCGGGCATTGCAGCGTTACTGGTTCTAGACAAATTCTTGGTATCCTTTATGGAGATTGAAAACGTCAGAATGGTCATATCCTTTTCATCGAGCTTCGGGTTCCCCTACGCAAGTGGCTACCTATGATTCTGATAGCATACGAATCTTAAAAAATTTTCTTTTGGTAATAACTAATAACCAATTCTATAACATTTCTTCTCGCACTCTTCTACTATGGCTTATGTGCCGAAATATAGATGCTGCAGATTTCAACCGGAGGCCGTCTTGGGTAAGTCATGTGACTTGCCACGTTTCAACTTTTTTATTTTATTTTTTTATCATAAGGTCTATTTTTTAAAACTTTTTTAAAAAATTGTGGAGCTTTCATCTTTTTTAAATTTATCATAGGGATCCACAACTGATTTTAATTTTTTTTCTCATTTTTTATTTTTTTGAGCTCAACGCCTTTTTTTTTTTTTTAATTTTTTAAAGATGTGGTGTATATTTTTTTAAAATTTTTTAATGTGGACCCGCACCTTGATTTTTAATTTTTCCCTCTTGGTTTTTTTTTTTGTTATTTTTTTATTATATTCAATAATTTAAAAAAATATTTTTTTTTTTAAAATTTGTTTTGTGAAACTCACTTATATCAAAATTGTTTTCTCTTCTTTTTTTTTTTTTTTAAATTTTCCCACTTCATCTTTTTTAATATTTTTCAAAAAAATTAAATTAAATTTCATTTTAATTTAATTCTTATTTATTATCTTTCTTTTTTCATCTTTTTATTTTTAAATTAAATAAATTTTATAATAAAAATAAATTAAATAAATATATAAAATAAAAAAATTAAATCCTTAACAACGCACAAATATTTTGCTAATATACTTTAAATATATACATTGTGTTTAGTATCTATACCAATTATATTCTCAAGTGTCATAGTGAGCCTCAAAAGTCCTATGTTTAGTGCCATCATTGGATATTATTAATTTAATTTGGTACCTTAAATTGTATGTTCGTCAATATTTTATTTACATGAAAAAATTAAATTTTAATTAAATAAATTAAAATTTTAATATTTTATCAACGAATCACATAATTATTGGATTGAAATATCATCATCCTAACTTTTCATAGTTATTTAATTAAGTCTTGTGTTGCCCTCTATTTAATTTAGTAATTAAACAAAATGTTTATGTACTATAGCTAATAATATCCAAATATATTCAATCATGGTAATTGGAAACAAATGAAATTTTGATGAGTAATAGTTAAGGCATCATTTTCATTTTTGGTTTGATTTGAATGATGCCTTGGTCAATAAACTTGAGGAAAAGGAAAATGAAAAAAAACTAACATCATCTATATAAAAACTTTGTCGTTGAAACGCTAGTCTTGCTTATAAACTGAAAGACAGGTTACACTCAAGTTACCCAACCCCTAACCCTAATTAAGATTGTGGTAGGGATTTTTATTTGTTAAAAAAAATATTTTTTTGAGTTATATTTTTAAAGAATCTAATTTAAAATTAATTAACAATAAATGGAGAGATTCAATATAAATATAAGATTATGAAAAATTAAATATTTATTAGATATGGAATAACACTACTTTAACATGCTTTTATCACGTGTAGACGGAGATGGAAGAAACCTATCACGTGATAGATTTGAAAAGACTAACAGGAAGTGATAAATTTGAAAAGGATAATAAAAAAAAATCTTAGGCTTCAGGTGATAGATTTGGAAAGGATGGATAATAGAAAGAAATCTTAGACTTCACATGAAAGATTTGAAAAAGGTAATAAAATGTGATAGATTTGGAAAGGGTAATAGAAAGAAATCATGATTTTGATACTATGTAAAGCATCCAACTTAAAATCAATTGACAATAAGTGGATGAGCTCAATATGAATATAAGATTATAAAAAATTAGATATTTATTAGATATGTGATAACACCACTTTAACAATATTAACAAATGTTTTTATTTGGTTAGGGTATGTAAATATTTGATTTTGATCACAATATTTTATTCTTTTAAATTTATTTAAAATTGTTAAAATTGATGATAAGTTAGAACAGATAATGAGACTATTTTAATAAAGATTATTTTACGAAATATGTGATAAGACTGTTTCAATAAAGGTTATTTTATGAAATAGTTATTCATGGAACAACCCTATTCATGGAACAACTCATTTATATAATAGTTGTTTACAAAATAATTATTCAAGGAACAACTCTTTTACAAAACAACACATTCACAGAATAGTTATTCTCGTAACAACTTTTTTAAAGAATAAGACCAATACCTTTATCGAAAACTCTTGAAATTCAAGTTACTTCACTAAGAGTTATTGTATAAAAGATGCTTCAACAAATGTTACTTCATCGAAAGAAGATGTGAAAATAACCTTGGAATGTGGCAGGGTGTAAGAAAATACTTATTTACAACTGATTGTAATATTATAATCTGTATATTTATATTTGTATCTATATAATTAAGTATTTGTATCCCTAGAATTAAGGACAAAAAATTAGGATAGACAATCTTTCAAATATATAATTAGTTTTAGAAAGATTTAGTTTTCTAGTTTACCTATTAGTTAGTTATATACAAACTTAAGATACTTATATAATTCTTTATGAGCAGTTTTTTAATATACATTCAGTTTTACTCTTAATTTTCTATACAGTTTTATTTTTTAGTTTTTTCAAATGGTATTAGAGCTTTAGGCTTTTTTTGGGAAGAAAATTTTTTAAACCTTCATTGTTGAATTCTATTTCTGGCCTTCATAGTCAAATTTTGTTAAATCTTTTAGTCTTTTTTTTTTCTTTGGCTTTCATTGCCTAGAATTGTCTCTGGTTAAACCTTTATTATCAAAACTTGTTTTAGTTTTGAAAAAGATAACCATGCTAAAGATTGTAGAATTTGCCACTATTGCTTAATTTAAAGAAGTGACTACTGGTAAAAACATTGGATTACTACAAAAAGTTTCGGGAACAAAGAAAGTTGAATAGAGAAAAGATTGAAAAATTAAAAAGCCTATTGAAAACTCTTGAAAAGCTTATTGAGGTATGTTCTTTAAGTAAGGTCTTTTGTTCAGGTAAAGCTTTTGGTTCTTATGGATTAAATGTTTAGGTTAAGACTATTATGAGTTCTTGAGTTATTAACTCAGGAGTCACAGACCATATGACACATTTCTCATAGAAGTTTAGTACATCTACCCTATGTCCTAGTAATAAGAAAATTATTGTTATAGATGGTTCACTTATTATAGTGACAAAATTAAGAAATGTTCAAATTAATCATTTATTTGTTCTTAAAAATATTCTTCATGTTATTGGATTGTCTACTAATGTGATATCTATACAAAAACTTATCAGAGACATGAATTACATTGTGATTTTTTATCCCTTCTATTATGAATTTTTTGATCAAAGTTCATGGAAGATGATTAGACTTGCTAAGAAAAAGGATGAACTATATTATTTTGAGATGTCAAACAATACAAGTAATATCAAGAATAATTTACCTTTATCATTTCTTTCTGAAAATCTCTCAATAAAGACAAATTCTAGTTTTACCATTTTCATCTTGGACATCATTCTTTTGGAACTTTGAAAAACATATTTCCTTCTTTGTTCAAAGGATTAAATGTTAAAAATTTTTATTATGATGTTTGTGAATTTGCAAAGCATAGATATATGTCTTTTTTAGTTAGCAATAAAAGAAGTTTTATTCATTTTTACTTGATTTATAATGATATATGGGCTCTTTTTATAATTTTTAATATTTTTGGTGCAATGTGATTTGTTTCTTTCATAGATGATTATACCGAGATCTCTTAGATATTTTTACTTAAATCTAAATCAGATGTAAATAGTATATTTTTAAGCTTTCAAAACATGATCCAAAATCAAATTAGAGTGAAAATCAAGATATTTAAGTTTGATAATGCAAGAGACTATTTCAATAAGAGTTTATCTATCTATTTTCAAAAGGAAGGGATTATCCACTAGTCATATTATATTAATACTTCATAACAGAATAAAATGACAAAAAGAAAAAAACAGTAATTTACTAGCCATAACATGAGCTTTATTTTTCAAGTAAACGTACCTAAATCTTATTGGGAGAAAACTGTTCTTACTGTCATATACATTATAAATAGGTTATCTTTAAGGGGTTTGAGATTTAAAACTCCTATGGAACTACTCTCACAATTTTATCTCAATTTTAATACCATAAACAACATCACACTTAGGATATTTAGTTGTATATCATTTGTTCATGTTCACAATCATAATAGGAAAAATTTGGATCTTAGAGCAATTAAGTACATTTTTTATGGGATATTCATCAACTTAAAAAGGGTATAAGTGCTATCATCTTCTTACCAAAAAATTCTATATGTATGCAGATATCACTTTTGAAGAAAATAAACCATTTCTTTCTCAATTATATCTTCATTGGGAGACTTCATTCATGAAAGATAGGGATAAAGACTTTTTTTTGCTTGATTTTTCTTTCTCTTTAATATTTTTACCCATTAATTCTTCTAAGTCTAAATTTGTTTCTTTTAAGTTCAAGTTAAACATTGAATTTGAGTCTGAATCTATTTCAAACACAGAAGATGTGACAAAAAATAATATTATTCTTAATTCTATAAAGGAATTATAGGTGCATTAAAGAAAAAACGTTTTAGATTTTGAACCAATGCAAGTCCAAGAACCTGATCTTAACTTTGAAATGATGTAACTACAGTATTTAAATCTATTTTTCAAAATGAGCAAGAATTTTCTAAAACTATGACTAGTGATTATGATTTGCCTATTGTCATTAGAAAAAGAACTAGAGAATGTACTAAACATCCACTATACCTAATTTTTAATTTTGTGTCATTTGAAAAATTTTCACCATCCCACAAAAATTTTCTTGTGAGCCTAAACATTATTTCAATTTTAACTACATTATTCGAGGTATTATCCATTAAGAAATGAAGACAAGCCATGAAAATAAAAATAAAAATCTTAGAGAAAAATAAGACATGAGAACTGGTAGAGTTACCTAAAGAAAAAAATTCAATTGGGTGTAAATGGATTTTCATTGTAAAATACAAAGCGGATGATATTATTGAAAGGTATAAAGTCAGGTTGGTGGCTAAGGGCTACACTCAAACTTATGAAATGGATTATAAAAAAACTTTTACTTCAGTTACCAAGATGAATACAGTTAGGATTTTATTATCATTGGCTATAAATTACAATTGGCAGAATAAGAATGCTTTTCTACATTGTGACTTGAAAGAAGAAATATATATGAAGGTTTCACTGAGATTTGGAGGTTATCTAGAAGCAAACAAAGTATGCAAGCTAAAAAAAGATTTATATAGCCTTAAACAGTCTCTTAGGGCTTAATTCGAGAGATTTGTTAAAGTGATGCTACCAATGGGATATAAGCAGAGTCAAGAAGATCACATATTATTTATCAAGCACTCTGATTCAAGTAAAGTCACAGTTTTATTAGTGTATGTTTATGATATAATTATAACCAGAGATTATGAAAAAAAAAAGAATATCTAAAATAGTGTTTGACTAATGAATTTAAGATAAAAAAGCTAGGGAGATTGAAATACTTTTTAAGAATTGAAGTAGCTTACTCACAGTATGGTATTTTCATCTCATAACAAAAATATGTAATGAATCTTTTGAAGAAAACTAAAAAGCTCGCTTATAAATCTATAAATATCCTTATAAATCTTAATCATAAACTTGAAGGAACTAATGAATATGCTACTGTAGATAGAGAGATGTATTAGAGATTAGTTAAAAGACTCATTTATCTTTCATATACTAAATCTGATATAGCATATGCTGTGAGTGTGATAAATCAATTTATGTATAGTCATAAAGAAGTGCACCTATAAGTTATCTACTGTGTATAATATTATTTAAAAGTTAATCCTATGAAAGATATCTTATTTAAAAGAAATTCATGGCTGGTTCTAGAGGTATATACAAATATGGATTATGCAGGTTTAATAATTAATAGAAGATCCATCTTAGGCTACTGCATTTTCTTAGGTAATAATCTTGTGATTTGAAAAAGTAAAAAACAGAATATAGTGACAAGATCAAGTGCTTAAGCAGAGTTCAAAACAGTAGCTCAAGAAATTTGTGAACTATTATGGTTAAAAATTATCCTAAACGACTTAAAGATCAAGTGGAATGGACCAATGAGACTCTACTGTGATAACAAGTCTATAATAAGTATTACATACAATCTTATACAACATGACAGAACAAAACACATTGAAGTATATCAACATTTTATAAAGGAAAAACTAGACAGTAGGTTGATTTGTACACTGTATGTGTTAACTAAAGGTCAACTTGTAGATGTGTTGACTACAAGTGTTAACAGTACAACATTTCAAAAAATTATTTCAAAATTGGGTGAGAAAAACACCTATTCACTAGCTTGAGAGGAAGTTTGAAAAAACACTTATTTACAAGTGGTTATAATATTATAATCTGTATATTTATATTTATATCTCTAGAATTAAATATTTGTAGAACTAAAATTAAGGACGAAGATTAGAATAGACAATCCATCAATTATAATATCAGTTTTAGAAAGATTTTTTTCCTAATTTACCCATCTGTTAGTTGTATATAAACTTAAGGTGTTTGTATAATTCTTTATGAGCAATTTTTTTATATACATTCAATTTTTACTCTTAGTTTTCTATATAATTTTATTTTTTAGACAGGATTCTTGGGTTAATTCCACTATTGGATGTTTTAGAAAGCTTGGCTTGGTGGATCATATATGAAAATAGTTAAGAAGTTTTCTCTTAACCTTTTTTTAAAATATGAGTGTTTCTCTATTTCTTTTAAAATAAATAATGAACTTCTATATTCACTATACATATTACCAAAACGTTAATTAAACTCTCATTAAACAATATATTAATACCTTTTATAACGGTAAGTTCTCTTATCATTCATCGTTATTCCTATTACATACTCAATATATGTAACTCTTATTCTTAAAACCAATAAACAGGAATTGCCACGTTCATTAAAAGAATTTTGGAGACTTTTGGCAAATTTACTTAGTTCTCTATGCAATTCTCTCTTTTTAAACCCTTTTTTCGGTCTCATTCTCTTCTCTACTCAGTCTTACTTCATCAGCTACCACCACTTGTCAGTGCAATCAATACTTCAGGGTTTGCTCCAATCTTTCTTTCCGTTGTCTCTCAACACATCTTGTTTTACTTGTTTGAACGCATTCTCACTTAAATAAAGAATCCTTTTACAAGGTATTTTCTTCATCTGTCCAATGACCATGATGAGTTGCCGATCACAAAATTGATGGCCGGCCGGCCCCTTGTTAATTATACTACTTAAAAGAAAAATAATAAAGCACGCATAACCAATTTCAAATCATTCGTCTATATTACTCCCACTTTTATTCAGGAAAGAGTATATATGTGGCGAGATAATATATAGTTGGTAGCCGTCTTAATTGTTGATATATTTAGAATACCAACCAAAAATTTATTTTATAGATGAAGTTGTCCATGATCACTAGAACAACTTTATACATGTTGAGATGACACCTGTAGCCGGAGAAATGGAAATACAAAGCCTCATATATTAATACCATACTAACCATTGAGACGTGACTCAATCTTTAGGAAGAAAAGAAAGCAGTACTCCATCCTCTAGAATAGCTCAATATTGGATTGTCAAGACCTCGCTTGCGCTGCATATTTATCCAGATTGAGGCGGATAATATAAGGGTAGAAGGAACCGCAGTATAGATGGTTCTTTATCTTGATCCCAGTTGTCACCAAATTTAATTCAACGTCCTGATATTGTGCAACTGGTTTTCCATCAATGTCGACGGCCAACACCCCACTATTTTTCATCGTACTCACTCGCCCAGTCAACCTCTCAATAATTGCCGCTGTCTTTCGAACCAATGGATGCTTGAATGCTAAATCCCAGAACAGTGTATTTTCCTGTCACCAATTGCTCCACAATTAATTAATATTATTCATCGTTATTAGATATATATCAACAACCAGCTGCCACTCATCATCAGGCTACAATATTTAATTATTTCATTCTAAACCATTATTTAGGTTAGTTATAATTTAAACATTATTTCATCATCAAGCATTATTGCTTAAAAAAAATATAGTGATATTGAAAAGAGATGAATAATTAATGCTTCGTTCATTATAGGCTAGAGCATCCATTATTAGTATTTGTTGTTCAATAACAGGAAAGTATAAATTTGGGACTGTTACCGTGACCAATGCAATCCAGTAATGGCCTTCTCCATCATATCTAATATTATCAGGCATCCCTGGTAAGTTATCGATAAATTTTTCCACATTTCCTTTTTTCATGCCCTTGATGTAATACTTTCTGCACCTCCTCCTGCCAAATATATACAGCTCTTAATTATTAGCCAAAAAATAAAGCATGCACTGAATTAATTAGGTTAAACTGATAAAAATGGAAGATGAGCATTTAGTTTCCAATTAATTAAACATAGGGTGTAAGCAACCAATTAAAGACATACATGGTGGTTTCACAAAATACTAGATAATCTTGATCAGGTGACACTGCAATTCCATTAGCAAAGTAGAGATCACTTAACAGCACTTCGGTTCGTTTGGAGACGGGATCAAAGCTTATAAGTCGACCATAAGGCCTGCCCTCAAAAAAGTCCTGTCTCACTTCGTTTAAGCTATACTTATGGGAAGCATCTGTGAAATAGATCATGCCATCCTCTGCTACATCAACATCATCCGTTAACTTGAATTTCAAATCCTCGGCTCCATCAGCTAGCAGCTCTATAGCACCATCTCTACTTATATTTAATAGCCCCTATATGTATAACACATAATCATACTATAACCCCAAAATGTGATCATTGACAACTCCAATAAATTAACGAACATTATTTTCTAGGCAAGAGTACATATCTAAAATATTACTTAGATTAGTACTATTACCATAGCTAGTATACTCTATTATATGACCTCGCTGATTTTTGAATCAAACAATATATTATCAGTTATGGAATTTATTACTACTAGTATTATTTATATATGTGAAAGTAATTGAGATGGACGTTAATGTAAAAATGATAATGATAACCATGCCTGCATTGATTCTTGTAGCTGATTAAACTACTACTAGATTAATAAGACAAATAAAAAAAATATTAAATACTAGTGCGGCTCAACCATCTCACATGTTACAACAATAATCAATTCCAAGAATACATATAACCAAGATTAATCACTTTTTTTGGCCATTTGTGAGCTATACATGGGAGACAGATTTTTGAAGATTGTGAGTTTCAAAAAATTTGTGTATATACACAAAATTTTTTTTTTCATATAAATTAAGTAAATAAAAATACGAGGATTAAAAATAAATTAAAACTTTAAAAAATTCAATCACTTTATTATTTTATTTTTTTATGTCCGTACAATTACCTAATATTATTGACAGAGTTTACAAAATATTACTGTATACACAGCTAATCACAGTGCCTGCAGTCTGTCTATGAACAATATTTTAATTTCCTTTTTTTCTTTTTTTTTTTTTTGGGGGGGGGGTGGTTAATTAATTAACAATGTATTTTAGTAAAACAGGCCCACCTTATAAGCGTCGGCAACGATGACTTCAGTGTTGAGTCCTAGAGCAAGGCCAAGCGGTCTACCCCCGGTCCTGACCCAGTTCTCAACCACCGTGTCACTGGCGGACTCATTCAACCAGACTCGCTTGATCCATCCATCTCCAGAGCCCGTGTAGATGACCTCTGACATTGAATCATACACAATATCTTCCGGCCCCTGAAACTTCCCCACGCCCAATAACTCTGCCCCTAGTAGCATGCGATCGTTACGCAGCAAGGCCGGCTCGGGGGGCTGACTCAACTCTTGGAGGGGCATAGGAGCCGCGTCGAACGAGTCAAGGTGGTAGACAACTATAGCTGCAATCACAGGAAGCATTAAGGATAAGAAAAGAACCAAGGCCCTTGACCGCCTTTCTGAATTAAGAGTACTGTAGGGATCCGTAGAGGCCTTGACTGAGGAGGCTGAGTCTTTTGAATCAGGCATTGTATGAAAAATAAACTAAGGGATACTGTATCAGAGATTGTCGTTAAGCAAAATATATATGGGCTCGAAATAAAGGTTATATTTTTCAAATCTAATGTTTTAAAGCTTTCGTATGGGACTAGCACGGGACCCTACATGAAGAAATAAACTTGAGAAACTAAAGTGGGTAATGTTTTATTTTACGCTAACCTGTGAGGTTTTGGATGGGAATTATCAGCAGAGGCTCAATATAGATAGGATCCGTCCTTCCTACGCTACAGCTATAGACAGCCTAATCAAAGGTAACGGGTTTGTTTTTGTCTTGTTTTGGAAAGATATATTTGAGACTTTGTCTGTCCCAATCATAGATGGAAAAATCTAAAAATGAGAGATAGAGATGACGAGGTTTTTGTCATTATAAGCTGTGCACGGTCATTTTCCACTGCAAACACCCACACACCTTTCTTTTACTGTAAACACGTGGGAAGAAAGATGAGGGTTGAAGTTTGAAATATTTGCATGAGAATGGGGGTAATTAGTTAACTGTAAATTGCACGCAGATGATCCCTCACTACGCTTAAATATGTAGAGTCAAAGTATTTGAGTTTACATTATACAGAGTCTACCCTTATCAAATTTATTTGTCACATCACATGTAAATTTAACTGTAATATTTTTATTTTTTTAGTATAAAGGAAACTTGTAAAAATTCACCTTTTTTTGAATAAAAAAGTTCGTGAATTTTTTGCATTAAATCTCAAATTCTGTTTAAAATTTAAATTTTGCTTTATTGGAAGTTAATATAAAAATTGCTTATCTATATATATATAATGTAAAAATAGTTAAATCCAAGATTTGCGGTCATAAAATTTGTTCAAGTTGGGCCAAAGCTTTGGTGCTTTAGCCAGCCCAGTCCTAATTGGGTCTATATTCCTCCGACCCATAGTTTGGACTTTCGACTGAACTTACGAGTCATGCCAACCTCCCAAAATTATCGTATACAGCACTTATTTCATAAAGAACAATTATATTCTCTGGTAGGCAGTGGGACGGTTACGGTTTGTTTACATCCACCATCCCTTCCCGAGGATGATGAAATTATTGTCACTACCACTCGATTTTTCTGTAACATCTAGGCTCTATCTGCTGGGCTGATTATGGTAGAACGCCTTGTGACATCTCGAAGAAACGTTGACGCCACAAAAGAAACATTCACGTACAAGACTTTTGGTTTCAAGATTTACAAGCAGTCGAGAATGGCATCAAGTGAAGCTTATAAGTGAAGATATGCTGTTTTTGGGGTGGAACTTGTCCTTCTCAATGTCCCTTTAATTTATGTCTAGGATACAGAAAATCATGGAAGACAAGGAGACTTTGAGCTTCCTTGGCTATGTAATGGAAAATGTGATGCGTGTGATTTTCTGCATTACATTATTAGAATCTACCGCCCCTTTGGCCCTATCTCAACCAAAAACTTCTTACTCTATTTGTTTCTGTTTAGGTTTACATTGTCTTCTAGTCTATATATAAAAATTAATATATTTTTCAATAAACAATCTCTCATTTCTCTTTAATGTATGGTAGTGGCCTATAAGTTCCCACAGAATTCAGTGCCTTTGGGTTTTTATTGTACGTTACGACCGCCTTAGATTCTTTGCATGGGGTCTAACTTTTGTTGAGCTTGAAGCAATAAATAAAATAACATAAAAACAATATATCATAATAAATACACAGTAATAAATAACTATTAACAATCAATAACGTAAGAAAAATAAAATACACCAAAATTTATGTAAAAAATCCTTCAATGTAGAGAGAAAAATCATGAACCACAAAAAAAAAATCTTTACTATCAAATAATATATATGTAAAGTTCTTCTCTAGCTAAAATTAGAGTTAATCAACAACTAAAGAGATAATTGGTGAAATCTCACTAAATAAATGATTTAACAAATACACATTGGATTTGTTTTTAGAGAGCTTCAAACTTGATCTTGACCTTTCAGAATGTAGAGCTCTGAATCATAAATCTCCTGACAAAATTTCAACTCAATCGGACCACGGATCAATTTTTGTTCAACCAACTCTCTCTTCTTTTTTGTTTCTCTATTTTCTTGGCTTCTTCTTTCCTTTTTCTTTTCTTAGTTTTCGGCACCACTTTCTCTTGTTTTCACCTTAAAGTAGTCTTACCTCTTTTTTTATTAAGTAGTTAGGACTCTATGTAAAAAGAAAGACTTATGACATTTGATTAGTCCAAACCTAATTACATGAGACTGAACCCCATTTTTATAACAATCTCTCCCTCTAGCTCTATTAGGATGAGATTTATCACTATAGTAGTTTCATTTAGAATTTACCTTGGCCAAAGAACTCATTCTAGTCAAGTTAGTGCAAAGCTCAAGCTTCTCCCTAAAAAGTGGCTTAGTCAACATATCTGTTATATTCTCATCAGTATAAACTTTCTTTAATATTATCTATTATTTCTCAATCATTTGAATGTAAATGGTGATATCTAACATCAATGTGCCTTGTTCTAGCATAGTACATGATATTTTTACTCAAATCTAAAGCATTTTAGTTATCATAGAACACTACTTACTCTTTTTGATTCAGCTCTAATTCAAAAAAAAAATGTTTCATTAAAAGCATTTCTTTACTTATTTCGATTGCTGTAATATACTCAACCTCTATAGTTGACAAAGTAACATACTTCTGTAACTTAGACTGCTAAGACATAACTCTTCCTGTAAAAGTAAACAAATACCCTGAAGTAGATTTTCTACCATCAAGATCACCTGTTATGTCAATATTAGTAAATCTTTTTAAAACTGGTTGTGAAACTCCATAACTCAAACACATTTTTGAAGTGCCCCTCAAATATATGAAAATCTATTTCACTTTTTCCTAGTAAACCTTTCTCGAATTAGAAAGAAATTTGCTCACTACACCAATTATATGAGCAATGTCAGGCTTTGTGTAAATCATAAGATACATCAAAGAACCGACTGTAAAAGAATAAGAAATACTAGACATAGCTAGTTGCTCTTCTTTAGTCATTGGACAAGATTTTTTACTCAGATGAAAATGGTAGGCAAGTAGACTACTAACTAATTTAGTATGCTGCATGTTGAATCTACTAAGCACCCGTTCAATATATTTTTTCTATGACAACCATAGCTTTTCAGCTCTTCTATCCCAGATGATGTCTATATTAAAAATCTGCTTTGTTAGACCTAAATCATGCATGTCAAAATACTTAGACAATTATTTTTTTAACCTGCAAACCATACCAGTATCTTATCCTACAATAAATATATCATTAAGATATAACAAGAGAATAATGAAGTTACCATCAGAAAATTTTTTAACATACACACAAGGATTCGCTGTTATTCTTTTATAGCTATGGCTCACCACAAAAGAATCAAACTTTTTGTACCATTATCGCAGAGCTTATTTCAAGCCATACAATCTTTTCTTCAGTTTGCAACTAAGTGCTCTTTCCTTTTCACTTTAAAACCTCAGGTTGATTCATATAAATATCTTCCTGCAAGTCACCATGCAAGAATACAGTCTTGACTTCAAGTTGCTTAAGCTTAAGATTCAAACTAGCTACTAATCCCAATACCACTCGAATGAAACTCATCTTCACAACTGGAGAGAAGATTTTATCAAAATTGATTCCTAATTTCTGAGAAAAATATTTTACCATCAATTGAGCTTTGTATCTCACTAACTTGTCACCATCCATTTTCAACTTAAACACCCATTTATTTTTCAACTGCCTTCTCCCTTTTCAAAGTTTAACAAGATCACATGTATCATTTTTTTTGTAATGATTCCATCTTTTCTTTCATTACTTTTAACCAATGCTTTCTATTTAGAGTAATCTACACTTTTTGAAAGGTCTCTGGCTTCCTCTTACTAGTAACTAAAATAAAATCTGAACTTGAATACCTGATAGATGGCATGTGTTATCTAGTAGATCTCCTAGATTAAGACTTTACATCACTTGATGTCAAAAGTAGCTCCTTTTGCTTAACACTCTCTGGTAGAAAGGGTTACTCACCTACACAAAATTGATTACATTTGGCTCATCACTAACTGTGGCTAGCTCATTCAAATCTTTAAATTTCAGTTTTTACTCATTTTCACCATCTGCGACTCTTTTTTATGAAACCCCTATTGATGTTAAAACATCACACTCAACATAACTCGTGTAGTTTTTTTATTTTTCTTAAGGTCTGCTATGATTTTTTTCTTGGTAGACCACATCTTTACTTTTGACTGTCTTTCTCTTCACTGGATCCTATATCTTATAGCCAAAATTTTACCATATCTTACAAATACACACTGTGTGACTTTACAGTCAAGTTTTGACCTTTATTTTTTTGACACATGCATGAATACTTTACACCCAAAAACTTTAAAATGAGAGTATAAAACATCTTTTTCTATCCATACTTTTTTCGAAATGTCAAAGCCTAAAGAAATTGATGGTTATCTATTAAGCAAATAACAATTGTGTTAACTACTTCACCCTAAAATGGCTTTGATAATTTTGTTATCTTTAACATGCACATGATTTTTTCCATAATTGTGCAGTTTATCTTTTCAGCTACACTGTTATGCTATGGTGTTTCAAGTTCTATCATCTCATGTCTGATCATATGCTTTGAACAATACTATTGAAAGTCTTTAGTTATGTATTCCCCACTATTATCAATCAAAATACACTTCAAAGGCAGCTCTATCATCTTTTCCACAATGACATAAAATTTTTAAAAATAATGCAATACCTGACTTTTGTTTTTCAACATATACATCTAAGTTTTATGTAAAGTATCATCAATAAAAGTAATAAAATACTTGCTACCGTCTAATGAGTCAACCTCAATAGGATCATATATGTTAGAATAAATTAATTTCAATGTATTTTCTTTTCTCTAATAATTTTTATAAAAAGAAACTCTACAATGCTTACCAAATAAATAATGATCACATGAATCGAGAGACATACCTTTGGTCAAAAGAATGAAAGACTACTTTGTCGAAACTATAACCATTTTTTTGCTTATATGTGCTAGCTTTTTTTGCCACAAGTTTGTTAAAGCATCATCCTCAACAGCATTTATCTGATCGCTAGTTAATTACATCCATGTCTTGTACATTGTGCAACTTAATTTTCTCCTTGTAACTACTATAGATCTTTTAAGAAACTTTCACTGTCTATTCTTTTGTCAACTCTCATATCATTCTTTATCAATGATATTAATAGCAAGCAAGTTTATTCTCATATTTAAAATATATCTAACATCTCTCAAAGTCAACATGCAACTCGTACTAGTTTGTACAATAATATCACTATTCCTAACAATATGTGACACACATTTTTATTTTCCATGTTGGTACAACCAAAGTTTCTTGCTTTGTAAGTTGTAAATAACTTTATCTGAAGAACACAATGATATGCTGCTCCTGTGTCAATTATCCACTCAATGTTCAGATCACCAATATGATTACAATCACCATGTGTACAAATCAAAGTAACTAAATTATTATATGAATTCACTACTGTAACATTGTCATCATTTGAACTCTTACTTTTTTTTTTTTTACTTTTGCTTCAAGATTTTACAGTATTAGTTTATGTGACTTGCTTTACAATAGTGGAAACACTTTATTTTATCACTGAATTTAGATCTATGTTTAAACTTATTACGACCTTTTGAATTTTGACCTCTATTAATATTTTTACTCTTGTTTTCTATGATCAAAGCTTGATTTTCAGGGTCTGAATCTTTTCATCTTGTTTCTTCGTTAAGCATACTATCATTTACCATCTTCAATGTCACTTTGTAATCAGAAGCTGAATTAAGAACAGTCACAACTAGTGTATTCCAACTGTCTGGTAATGAACCCAAAAGAAAAAATACCTTCATTTCATCATCCATATTAAGCTTCATAATAGTTATTCGATCAAATATATCTTAAAAATCACTCAAGTGCTCTGTAATCGATCATCCATCCATATATTGTAAAGTTGCTAGCTTTTTAACAAGCATAACTTTATATACCTATTTTTCTCTCACACAATGCTGTTAACTTTTTTCAAATAGTGTGAGCATCTGTCTTTTATGCTACATAATGAAACACGTTGATATCAACCCATTTTTTAATTGTAGCCAACACCTTTATGCCTAACTTTTTCAGCTTTCATCTTTCATATCTACTGGTTTAACCAAATCACTCAATATCGGTTCATACAAATCTTTGCAATATAAAGGATTTTCCATCATAAGCTTTCAAATTGAATAATTTGATACTGTCAATTTTATCATGGAACCTGTATTACTCTCTATAATGTCAAATAAAATGTACTTTTATCTTGGGCTACTTTTGTATCTATGTCTCAAAATAACCCTCGCTCCGATACTACTTGTTGAGCCTAAAGTAATAAACACAACAACGCAAAAGTAATATATCACAATAAACCTATAGTAATAGACAACAATTAATAATGCATGATAAATAAAGCAGACCAAGATTTAGATGAAAAATCCTTCAATATAGAGGAAAAAATCATGGACCACAAAAAAAAAATCTTCACTATCAAATAATAGATATATAAAGTTCTTTTATAGCTAAAACTAGAGCTAATTAATAACTAGAAAAATAATTGAAGAAATCTCACCAAATAGGTGACTCAACAATACACCATAGATTTGTTTCTAGAGAGCTTTAAATCCAATCTTTACTATTTAAAATGTTAAACTCTGAATCATAAACTTGCCGATATAGTTTCAGCTTAATCAGATCACAAATCAATTTTCGTTTAACCAACTCTTCTTTTTTCTTTTTCTCTATTTTTTTTGGCTTCTTTTTTTTTTTCCTTTTTCTTGGATTTCGTCACCACTTTTTTTTTTTTTTCATCTTAAAATAGTTTTATTTCTTTTTATTAAGTAGTTAAGACTCTATATAAAAAAAAATTAATACCTATGATTTTTGATTAATACGAACCCAATTATATAGGGCTGGACCATATTTTACTAACAGTTTTGTGCAAAATTAGGTCCCACTTCGTACTTCTTCTTATTATAATATTTTTTCGCTACCGTTGGTCTATCGACCTTATATCTGTGGATTTAAACTATTAGGCAATCATGAATAGCCAACCTTGAATGTTTTATAAACTAATTTTAATTAATGACTTTAATAAACACTGGTAGGGAAGAAGGTATCGTAATAATGATTGGGAAGACAGTGCAGCAGACGCCGGGCATGTACCAGTTGTTTACAATTTGATGATCATAAACAAAATTAATCTTACCTATTCATATTGTTCATCTCTTGAACCTAACATTAAAGAATGATAAACGATTGCAGGTAGCTGGCTAAATATGTTACGAGGATCTTTTAATTCCATCACCATCGTATGGCCAATGATTAGGCTTTGGCCTGAATTTTCTTTCTTATTATAAATAGAAAGAAGAATTATGAATGTCTGAGCATATATCGACTTTCGAATTTAGTCTTTTGAGCATTTTTTCTGCATAAATATGGCAGGCTCATCTGTAATTCATGGGGTGAACGTTCCATTGAGATCCATTAGCTTGCCATCAAAGGTAACGAGTTTGTTTTTTTCTTGTTTTGGAAAGATATATTTGAGACTTTGTCTGTCCCAATCATAGATGGAAAAATCTAAAAATGAGAGATGGAGATGACGACGTTTTTGTCAATATAAGCTGTGCACGGTCATTTTCCACTGCAAACACCCACACACCTTTCTTTTACTGTAGACATATGGGAAGAAAGATGAGGGTTGAAGTTTGAAATAATTGCATGAGAATGGGGGGAATTAATTAATTGTAAATTGCACGCAGATGATCCCTCACTACCGTTAAATATGTAGAGTCAAAGTATTTGAGTTTACATTATATAGAGACTACCCCTGTCAAATTTATTTGCCACATCGCATGCAAATTTAACTGTAATATTTTTATTTTTTAGTATAAAGGAAGCTTGTAAAAATTCACTTTTTTTTAATAAAAAAGTTGGTGAATTTTTTGCATTAAATCTCAAATTCTGTTTAAAATTTAAATTTTGCTTTATTAGAAGTTAATATAAAAATTGCTTATCTATAGATAAATATATATATATATATATATATGTAATGTAAAAATAGTTAAATCTAAGATTTGTAGTCATAAAATTTGTTCAAGTTGGGCCAAAGCTTTGGTGCTTTAGCCAGCCCAGTCCTAATTGGGTCTATATTCCTCCGACCCATAGTTTGGACTTTCGACTGAACTTACGAGTCATGCCAACCTCCCAAAATTATCGTATACAGCACTTATTTCATAAAGAACAATTATATTCTCTGGTAGGCAGTGGGACGGTTACGGTTTGTTTACATCCACCATCCCTTCCCGAGGATGATGAAATTATTGTCACTACCACTCGATTTTTCTGTAACATCTAGGCTCTATCTGCTGGGCTGATTATGGTAGAACGCCATGTGACATCTCAGAGAAACGTTGACGCCACTAAAGGAACATTCACGTACAAGACTTTTGGTTTCAAGATTTACAAGCAGTCGAGAATGGTATCAAAGTGAAAGCTTATAAGTGAAGATATGCTGTCCTTCTCAATGTCCCTTTAATTTATGTCTAGGATACAGAAAATCATGGAAGACAAGTAGACTCTGAACTTCCTTGGCTATGTAATGGAGCATGTGATGCATGTGATTTTCTGCATTAGAGTATTAGAATCTACTGGCCCTTCGCCCCTCTCTCAACCAAAAACTTCTTACTCTATTTGTTTCTGTTTAGGTTTACATTGTCTTCCAAGTCTATATATAAACGGCCGCTTTAGATTCTTTGCCTTGGGGTCTAGCTTTGTGCAAAATCAGATCCCACTTCGTACTTCTTCTTGTTCTAATATTTTTTCCGCTACCGTTGGTCGATTGACCTTATATCTTTGGTTCTAAATTTTAGGCAATCATGAATTGCCAGCCTTGAATGTCTTATAAACTAATTTTAATTAATGACTTTAATAAACACTGGTAGGGAACAAGGCATCGCACTAATGATTGGGGAGACAGGGCAGCAGATGCACGGCATGTACCGGTTGTTTACAATTAGAGGATCATAAACAAAATTAATCTTACCTATTCATATTGTTCATCTCTTGAACCTAACATTAAAGAATGATAAACGATTGCAGGTAGCTGGCTAAATATGCTACAAGGATCTTTCAATTCCATCACCATCGTATCGCCAATGATTGGGCTTTGGCCTGAATTTTCTTTCTTATTATAAAGAGATAGAAGAATTATGAATGGCTGAGCATATATCGACTTTCGAATTTAGTCTTTTGAGCGCTTTTTCTGCGTAAATATGGCAGGCTCGTCTGTAATTCATGGGGTGAACGTTCCAGTCAGATCCATTAGCTTGCCATCCAGGTTGCGGCGTAATTTGTACAGCTTCACGAACAATTCACGCTGGTGGTGAGACAATTTGTACAGGTTTCACTAGGCTTGCAAAGTTGTATAACAACATTGAGGAAATCCTTCAGTCTCCGCTCACTCAAGAATTCCTTCGCCATCAGCAAAATAATGTAAAACTAGTAGAGGAGGCACTTGATGACTCGGTTGGATTGCTGGATGCATGTGGTACCGCAAGAGACCTAATTACGATGATGGAGGAGCAAGTACAAGACCATCAGTCAGCTTTACGTTGTAGGGGCGCAGATTCAAGCATTGGAAGCAATATCCTTGCTGACATCAGCTTTAGAAAGAAATTGAAAAAAAATTTACTAAAAGCCTTAAGAGCACTGAAGAGATTGGAATGCAGCAATAATGGCGCCTTTCCTCTCTTTGATGTAGATTGCCATCTATCGATGGTGGTAAAAGCACTGAGAGAATCCAAAGCCATCACAATTTTCATGTTTCACTGATGCTATTTCTTTCAATGCCAGTAATGAAAACGTTGGTCTTTGATTTCAAATTGATACCAGTAGCTGCAGCCAAGAGAAGGGAGAAGCCTTTCAATGCGGCGGGGATTGTGGACTTTACCTTGTATACACTCCATGGACAAGTCCCGAAAAATGATGCTAAGATTGATGCACAGACTGAACTAAGGAGATTAGAGACACTGTCTGCTAGCGTCAAAGGTCTCGAGGCAGGCTTAGATTGCCTGTTTAGATGCCTAATCCGAAATAGAGTGTCCTTACTTAATATCCTCACGCCTTGAAGACACTATTGTACACCTCATTGTTCATGCATGGCATCTGCATTTTAAAGGATTGATCCATGTTCAAGAACCAGATTTTTTAAAAGAATTGTACAAGAACCGTGTTGAATTGTAATGGCACTTTATTCTTTTAATTTGTTATTTGTGCTCTACCTATGATTCAAAATTAGCATCCCAAATAGCTATATTAATAGTATTTAGGGTGCAGTTTTTTACTTGTGAAATTGCTGGTGCAGCACATTGAGTTGCATTCTGAAAGAAAATAACAAAAATGTAAATACCAAATATACCTTGCTTCTTTCAATTCCTTGTGATGCACGAGCTATAGTTTCTCGTTATAGTCAATGTCAATGATTTCAGGCCTCACTTGGTTTATATTAAGCAGACGATCTTACCACCAGTTTAGAAAAACTCATCTAAAAACAGAAATAATAATTGTTTTACTAAGTACATCTTACTGGCTCTTTCCAACAAGATTGTCAGTGTTCTATTATGTCATTGCTTCTAGAATCATAAAATTAGGACATAAATCGGAGGTCTTTTATATCTTTCCCTGTAGGCACAAGCTTGATGGTTTCAATTGCATACTTTAACTATATCATTAATTTGCATACTCTATATTATGTAATCAGTATTCAGTACATAATTTGATTAACAATGAGTTAACTTGCTTTGCCGTGAACAATTTTTGCAATGGAGTTTTGGGAATGCAAAGGGGAAAATCTGAGTATTCTTTTAACCCATCAAATATAAACTTTTTACTAGTAATTATTATTGCTAATATTGCTTGGAAAACAAGATAGACATAATGATCACCAGCTAATAGAAAATAAGCACAAATAACCAAAACGATTGAAGTTTAACAGATAAATGAGGATGTCCATTGCCAAACTTTCTAAGTTTCAACTACACTCAACTCAGAGTTGATTATATTAAATCAATAAACTGTATCACCATTGCCAAAAAAAAAAAAAAAACTTGAAGAAGTTAATGCCTTGCAGGTTGGTTAAGAACAGAAAATTTGAATCTTGAACTGCAACCGTCCCAGTAAAGGCCAATTTCGTCACCAAGCTTCAGTTCCCTCCTCTTCACAAAGTCCTTGATCCAATTCTTGATGAGCACATTGGCCCCATTGTTCCATTGCCTGAAAATCATCTCATGTTCAGTCTTTGTATCACAATCCCACACAGAAACTGGCAACCCTTCCTTAGCTTTCGTAAGTTGATCAGCATTCCAGAAGGGAAAAATATGAGATTCTACGACCTTCGATGCCAACAAGAGCCTAGACATGTTGCCGAGGTCACTTTCAAAAAGCTGCTTTTTAATGCACCAAGTATCATGGCCAGGCCTCAATTCAGTCACAACGGCCTTACAACTTTCTTCTCTCTCAATTTTAGATCTCTTGTTTCTGCAGGACGAAACTTTTCTTAAACTGCTAGGATTCTCCGTTCTTTCTCTCTTCTTGGAACAGCAAGCGTCATCGAAACCCATGTTCAGTTGCAAAGAAGGACCTCCAACCTTCGGCTTCAGGAGGTTGTTCAGATTATATTCTTCCCTTTGATATTGATTGCTAAATTCACTGGCTTCGAAACTCTTCTGCCCTTTTTCAGTTGCAGGACTCTTTTCTTTGGCTTCCCAAATATAATCCCCTGAAAAGAGACAATTCTAATGAAACACCGCTCAGTTCCAAAGAAACACCCTCGCTTTTCTTCTCTACGAAGTTCTCCATCTTATGTTCTTTTCTTTGATATTGATCATTAATATAATTACTCTCACCAACTGCCATGTCATCAACGGGGTATATTCCAGACTATATTCGGAATTGTCTCTTCCTTCGTGGCAGTCGTCGGTCCATTCTCTGGAAATGTATTTGGTCTGGCACATTCGTATATCCATGTTTTATGCGGGAAAAGATTAAGAACCCACGAAAGTATGGTGGAATGTGGTGGCTCAACTGGGGCCTCGGGACCTTGGATATGGGCGTTGCGGCTGGGATTCGTGTTGTGACTGAATCTGGTTTTAAACGGAGCTTATTTAAACCTCAAGAAGGTAAGCCTAAAAAAGATATATATGTTAGAATGTATATTATATTTAGTTGACTTATAAAATTGGGTTTTATTTTTTGGATATATTTTGTGGGCTTTAAACTCATTTATACATTTGTATATATATATATATATATATATATGTGTGTGTTTTACAACTCTAAAAATAATATTGTTTTTCATTCTTCAAGTCATCATTATATCAGAGCTTCGATGATTATTATTTCTTTTTGTTTCAGTTTGGGTTTGGTGAAATTGAAATTGCCTTTGTCTTTTTTTACTTTTATTCATTGGCTACAAGTTGACTAAATACTTTATTGGTTTTGGATTATTTACCCATGTAATTGGCTTGTTTGGTTCACTTGTTATGAATTGATCAATTTATTGGCTTGTTACGGGTTGATCAATGTATTGGCTTTGAATTATTTTTCTTTCATGGCTCTTTCAAAATCATCACAGCCTATTACAGTGAAATTAGATGGAACAAACTACACTTATTGGTTCTTAAAAAATTTTGGGGGGAAGCTGCACTTATTTCAATTTTGTTATTAATCGTATTCCTTCTTTTATCATTGGTGGAATTTCTCTTTTTGAACGCTTGTATAACAATACTTTAAATTATTCTGAGCTTTGTATTTTTAGTTCTACATGTTTTGTTTCACTTCCTAAAGTTCAGTGTAATAAATTACCTCAAAAAATTACCATTTATGTGTTTTTAGGGTATGGTATTGGACAAAAAAGATATCATTACTATGACCATATTGTGCAAAAACTTCGTGTTTCTCGGCATGTTACTTTTTTGAAAAATATTTTGATGTGTTCATTGCTTTGTTTTAAAAAATCTACCAATGATTCTTATGAGTTTTTTTTTTTTTTTTATCTTTTTTTATCATTTTGTTAATTTAATTGACTTTAATTAATCTTTTCATGTGTCCCAAAGTTCTTCAACTCCTCAATAGATTCATCTAAATGAAGCTTGTCCCATCATTGACTCTACCATAAGCAATCATGCACCACCATTGTTCAATTCGTCAGAGCTGTCTATCCCAGAACTTAGATGTTCAACATGTGAGCGAATTCTTTCAAAACATTATCATTATTTTCATTGTTTCTTATATATTGTTCTTTCTGTTTATGAACCTAAATCTTATCGTGAAGTAAGTTCTAATCCTTTTTGGCAAGTAGCTATGAAAGAAGAATTAGATGCCTTAGAGAAAACTCATACTTGGGATCTTATTGATTTATTTTTTAAAAAATTTGTAATAGATTGTAAATGAGTGTACAAGGAAAAAACTAAATCAAATGGGTATATCGAGAGATATAAAGCTAGGTTGGTTGCAAAAGGATTTACACAAGAATATGGTATTGACTTTGAAGAAACCTTTGCTCCTGTAGCTCGAATGACTTTTATTTGAACTCTTGTAGTTATTACTTCTATTTGATGATGGGCTCTATCACAAATGAATGTAAAAAATGCTTTCTTGAATAGAGATATTCATGAAGAAGTTTATATGAAACCTCTTCCTGGATTGTCTTGCCAAACTAATCAAGTGTGCAAGCTTTGACAAGCTTTATATGATTTTTAGCAAGCACTGTGTGCTTGGTTTGAGAAATTCAGTATTACTATACTTGACTTTGGATTTTTGTATAGTCCTTATGATTTAGCATTATTTATTCATTAATTTGAAAGAGGTATTGTATTTTTGTATCTTTATGTTGATGATATGATGATAATTAGAAATGATAACCTTGGTATTCAGAATATAAAAAATCGTTTCAGAAAAACCTTTGAAATGAATAATCTTTGTCCATTACAATATTTTCTAGGAATTGAAGTTGATTTTTCCTCTCATGGATATGTCTTGTCTCAAGTGAAATATGCTTCTGATCTTATTTCTAAAGGTAGCTTATTTGATAATAAAACTGTTGATACTCCTCTTGAAACTAATGTCAAAATGAAAGCTATTAATGGAGAACTTTTCAATGATACTACTTTGTATAGATAGTTGGTTCGTAGTCTTATATATTTAACAGTTACAAGACCGGATATTAATCATGCAGTTTAAGTTGTAAGTAAATATAAAAACCCATACCCTACCTGCAAGATATTATCTACTTTGATTAAAGTCTCACAGTTTTATCTTACAAAAGGTCCTCACGGATTTGAGATTAAGTCTTAACTTATATATCATAACAGATTCACAGAATCTCTTAATATTGGATTATGGTGTTATAAACTCTCCATATTAAAGCTTAACGTCCCTATCAAGCCTAATACAAAACACATATAGATTACAAGATCATACCAAACGTTGAGATTCTAGAGATGATTCTTATTGTGTAGCATTTAGCTTTTACAAGATTTTAGAGGTAGCTCTCATAGCGTAACACTTAGTTTTCATCCGACTGGTGATCGCTCTAATACCATCTATGGAGACCTATACCCAACCTATGAGGTATTATCCACTTTGACTCAAAGATCTCATGATTTTGTCTCATAAAAGATGCCTCACAGGTTTGAAATTAAGTCTTAATTTATATATCATAATAGATCCACATAATCTCTTAATATGAGATTGGGGTGTCACAGCCAATTTATGATAGCACTTTGGACAATTTACTTTGCTGCAGTTCTTAGGATATTGGGATATTTGCAAGGAATGCTACATATAGGTTTGCTATTCTTATCAACTTCTAAACTTCAACTTTGTACTTTTTCTGATTATAATTGGGCTGGTGATGGTTATTGTGTTTTTTTTTTTTTTGAGTGATTCTTTGATATCTTGAAAAAGAAAAAAATAAAAAGTTATGGTGCATTTAAGTACTGAAGTAGAGTATAGAGCTTTATCAGACACTATAGTAGAAATTATATGGTTGTATCGGTTACTTATAGATTTAGGTGTTGACACGCCTACTCCTATTTTACTTTTTTATGATAGCAAGAGTGTAATTCAAATTGTTCACAATGATATTTTGCATGAACAGATAAAACGTATTGAAATAGATTGTCATTTTATCAAATAGGAGATATGCAAAGGCACTATTATGCTACCATAGATTTCTTCTGACTCATAAGTGATGGATCCTTTTACAAAGTTTATTTCAAGTTCACATTTTTGTTATTTAGTTTCCAAACTCCAAATGTTTCATTTTAAAGCATTTCAGTTTGAGGGGTTGTTAAAATGTATATTATATTTAGTTGACTTATAAGGTTGGACTTTATTTTTGGATATATCTTGTGAACTTTAAACCCATTTATACATTTATATATTTATATATATGTATTTTACAACCCTAGAAATAATATTGTTTTTCATTTTTCAAGTCATCAATATATACATACTTATATATAGATCAGCAAGCAGAATAAAGCATTTACACTTTTTGACGAACTTTTCCCTCAAAGAGAGCACATGCTGTGTGATAGAAATGTACCTAATTATCGAAGCTTAAATTCAACATCTAAACAATAGGTTTTGAAAATTCCAAAGAATGCATTGAGATGGTTCGAATTCAAATGGCAGTTGCATGGTGTTTGATGCTTTTAGATACATAGGGATGACTAACATCTTCTCTTCAATTATATTAAACCAAATGCATATAGGAGACAATTTAAATCTAGTTAACAAAATTTCCAAAATTTTCAACATAACGAAACAAAAGAATCACAACTTATCACCAGTACAAATCTATTCTTAACAAGCATCTCGACTTTTAGCAAATGATATCTAGTAATTCCAACAATTTGGCTACACACTAGTGTTTCTACACAACCTCACATTAAAATTTTTTGTGTAAAAAATCATATTATAGTTAATGATACATTGTCTTACAATATCAGCAGCAACGGTAGGTTAAAACATCTAAGCAAGTATAAGGCCTTAACTTTTTTTCAAGTTATTGGACTAAAGGCAAAGATTCCAAACTATATATGCGGCTTCAAACACAACATAAGTCATATAAATTGCTACAAACTCCTTTACTAAAAGGATAAACTCGCTCAAGAATCCCTCTATATATAAAAAATGGCAACTATGTAAGATGTCAACACATGGTTAATCATTTATAAAAATAGTTAATCTGTGCTGAAGACAAAGTCCTGAGTTGAGATTCATACCATGAATTTTTTTTTAATAGTTGAGATTAACAAAATTTGAACTTTACTTGTCAAGATTAAAAATTCAGTATCACATGACTATTGCTTCATACTATAGATTTACCTTCTTGATTTTCTCTCATCAATGCTTTACTTTCTCTTCATACCAACAAGTAACTAATGAAATGTAACATATTAAAATCAAATCAAGATAGTCTTTTGATCTAAAGTTAACAATTCCATTGATATACATAATGACATGATACTGTACCTTTAGGATGAATTAAATGCATAATTTGCATGATGCAAAATAGTATGAAAAGAAGAAAAGCACCCACTAACCTTAGATATGGGATATGCCTACATCTAACAAGTTCATAAGTAGTACTTTAATTTGTTAGAACAAGATAGCTATATGAAAAATAAAGGTTCCTATATTAGAACAATGCTCATTGTGGACAACATGAAACTAATCATTAAAATCTGAAATTCGATGCTGAAAACAAGTAAAAATAACCAAAGTTATCTAAGAAAAAATAGAAGAAAAAGTAATATATTACAGAAATTGCCAAGGCAATCAATAGCAAAATCATGATAACGTCTTTCCACCTGTCAACAATATTTTTCCAGGTTAAATTTTAGATT